CATGCCGCAGACACGACCTGCGTAACTCACTGCTGAAACGATGAGGACTGGATCCCTCTTGCCCCATGATCACACACACACGGGGGGGGGGCAGGGCTCAGACCCCAATCTCTCCTGACTCCTATCACAGCCTTGGGATACTCCTCAAACAAGCCCGACATCTCCTCCTATCACAAACACACCCCAACCAAACTATCCCCTCGTCACCATCACCACTGGGAACAGCTCCACATGGCCCAAGGAGTACAGCACATGCAGATCATTCTCAGGGGCTCTTCCCAGCTCCACAGGGGCAGAATTAAGGTTACACACAGGGGCGGCGAGTTGTATGGGCCCGTGATGCCCGTGCTCCACCGATATGAGAACAGGAAGCCTGGCTCCACCAAAGTTCAGGGCTGGGTCTCTCCCCCGGCCCCGCCTGCTGTCCCCACGCGCCTCCCCCAGAGCGTCCCCCACAGCCCCTCCTGCCACCCCTGGGCCAGTTAAAAGGGCCCGTGGCCTCCGCCGCCACCACCGGCAAGGCAACAGGACGAAGGCGGCTTCTTGCTCCCCCGCTCCGCTTACGGAAGCAGCCGGCACGTCCCTGCGGGCCCGGGGGGAAGGGGAGCGAGCGTCTCCGCGCGCTGCCCCCACCCAGAGCGCCGACTCTGCCGACTGCGGCCAATGGGAGCTGCGGGGAGCCGCCTGAAGCAAGTGTTAGGCTATAGATATTCAGGTCTCTCGGTAAAGGCCTGTACTCTAAGAATTTAGGTGTATTCTTATCCCTTGGCTAGTTATTGAGGTATGAAAGAAAGAATCAAAATCACTGTCTGCCAGTGTAAGGGCCTTCTCTCACTGGGACAGTCTGAGGCCCTGTGCTTAGGCTAAGGCCTTTGGCTAAGCAACAGAGGCAGCCATAAGCTGGGAAGCGACCGGTCACATCCTCAGCAGTCCCATTGAAAGAAGGTGCTATTGGACTGTTAGGAACACAATCCTGTCCCGATAGTGCCCATCACCTCCAGAGAAAGGGAAATGCCTAGAAGATGTAAAAGGAAACCTAGTTTGATAGCATCCTGTCTGGCAAGAACTCACTTATCAATAGCTGGGATGTGAAATCCTCACTTCTGTAAAAAGAACGAGGAGGACTTGTGGCACCTTAGAGGCTAACAAATTTATCTGAGCATAAGCTTTCGTGAGCTACAGCTCACTTCACCATTTCTGTGTTTGTTCTATCACTGTAGTCCCCATTTCCCCATTGTTTGTCTGTATAATCTCTCTCTGGTTCTGGGATTGTTCCTGTCTGCTGTATAATGAATTTTGCTGGGTGTAAACTAATTAAGTTGGTGGGATATAATTGGTTAAATAATCATGTTACAATATGTTAGCATTGGTTAGTTAAATTTCAGGAAAATGATTGGTTAAGGTATAGCTAAGCAGAACTCAAGTTTTATTATATAGTCTGCAGTCAATCAGGAAGTGGGGGTGTGTGGGGGTGGAAATGGGAACAGGGAATGGGGGTGGGGAAATTGGAATCATGTTTGGCTAAGGGCAGGAATGGGAACAGGGACACAGGTGTAAGGCTCTGTGGTGTCAGAGCTGGGAAGGGGGACACTAAGGAAGGAAACTGGAATCATGCTTGCTGGAAGTTCACCCCAATAAACATCAAATTGTTTGCACCTTTGGACTTCGGGTATTGTTGCTCTCTGTTCATGCAAGAAGGACCAGGGAAGTAAGTGGGTGAAGGAATAAGCCCCCTAACGGTAAGCTGCACCCCTCACCCTCATCCTCTCCCACACCCCAACCCCAGACCAGACCCCATACCACCTCCCACACCCCACCCACCCACCCCAGCCCAGAGCCTACACCCCAACTCCTTCCCAGAACACATTTCCCATACCCCCTCCTGCACCCCAACCCCCTGCCCCAGCCCAGACCCCACACCACACACCCAAACTCCCTCCCAGAGCCTTAGGGAGGTGTGTGTGTGTGTGTGGGGGGGGGGGACTTGGACCACCAAAAATTATACAAACCTGCCACCCTTGATTACATGGGCCTGTCCCTTAACTCTGCGTTTCCTGGTTTTCAGAGCTTTGAGGGCCTCCCCATCCTGGAAGGGCAAGAGATGGCCCCAACCCGCGGCAAGCTTAACACTGAGATCACCATGGTTTTGCAAGTAAATAAGATTGAGATTCGGGTTCTGACCTCCCCGTGCCTGCATCCCCATGCTGCCCTGAAGCTAACTGGGCTGGCAGGGAGAGGGGGGAACTGCAGGGCTCAGATGCACAGACCCCCACCCTGCTGCTCCAGAGCTGGCTGTGGTGTGGGTGGGGTATTTGTCTCTCTGGTACCAGCTGCAGTTCAGGGCCTGATCCCCTTGTCACTGCAGCTGACACAAGCCCAGGAGCCAGCCCTGCAGGACCCCTCTCCAGTCCAGGGCCAGGAGCCGTGGCATGGACCAATCAGCTGTGGAGGCAGGGGCGGGACCAGTCGGGAAGTGGACCAGTCACTGCTACGTCTGGACTGCAGAACCCTGGACTTTGACTCTTATTTCGAAATCCGTCCCCCAGAAGCAGCACGGCTTTGTAGGGCACCCGAAAATTTGGGGCACCCCTGAGGCTTAGTGTCCAACCTCCCACCTTTTCCGCTCCCTGTTCTGATCCTTCCTGCAGCTCCCACCACAGCTGGCTGCTGCAGCCTGGTGAGTCTTCCGGGGGAGGGGATCTGCTACTTAACAGTGAAAAAGCCTCCAGCCTGCCAGACCTGTTAGCACAACACTGAAACTGTTAAAGAGCCATTTAAGTTTTTTTCCACTGCATGCATCCGATGAAGTGAGCTGTAGCTCACAAAAGCTTATCCTCAAATAAATTTGTTAGTCTCTAAGGTGCCACAAGTCCTCCTTTTCTTTTTGTGGATACAGACTAACAGGGCTGCTACTCTGAAACCTGTCAAGTGGTAATGAAGCCATTTAACAAGCATTTGCCAACCCCCAGGTCTATACTGTCAGTTTCTGAATTTACTGACAAAACCAGTTGTGCCTTACTCAGCTCCTCCGAGTTAAGATCAAGTGTTTACTCAGAACATGTTAGTCACAGGACCTTAGTTTAAAATTTGCTTTAAAAATATTTCATTAGTGTGTTGCTGAAGATGATAAAATCACATCTCTAAAAAAACCCTTGCATCAATTTATAGATCATAGAATCATAGAATATCAGGGTTGGAAGGGACCTCAGGAGGTCATCTAGTCCAACCCCCTGCTCAAGCAGGACCAACCCCAATTAAATCATCCCAGCCAGGGCTTTGCCAAGCCTGACCTTAAAAACTTCTAAGGAAGGAGATTCCACCACCTCCCTAGGCAACACATTCCAGTGTTTCACCACCCTCCTAGTGAAAAAGTTTTTCCTAATATCCAACCTAAACCTCCCCCACTGCAACTTGAGACCATTACTCCTTGTTCTGTCATCTGCTACCACTGAGAACAGTCTAGATCCATCCTCTTTGGAACCCCCTTTCAGGGAGTTGAAAGCAGCTATCAAATCCCCCCTCATTCTTCTCTTCCGCAGACTAAACAATCCCAGTTCCCTCAGCCTCTCCTCATAAATCATGTGTTCCAGTCCCCTAATCATTTTTGTTGCCCTCTGCTGGACGTTTTCCAATTTTTCCACATCCTTCTTGTAGTGTGGGGCCCAAAACTGGACACAGTACTCCAGATGAGGCCTCACCAATGTCGAATAGAGGGGAACGATCACGTCCCTCGATCTGCTGGCAATGCCCCTACTTATACATCCCAAAATGCCATTGGCCTTCTTGGCAACAAGGGCACACTGTTGACTCCTACCCAGCTTCTCGTCCACTGTAACCCCTAGGTCCTTTTCTGTAGAACTGCTGCCTAGTCACTCGGTCCCTAGTCTGTAGAGGTGCATGGGATTCTTCCATCCTAAGTGCAGGACTCTGCACTTGTCCTTGTTGAACCTTATCAGATTTCTTTTGGCCCAATCCTCTAATTTGTCTAGGCCCCTCTGTATCCTATCCCTACCCTCCAGCATATCTACCACTCCTCCCAGTTTAGTGTCACCTGCAAACTTGCTGAGGGTGCAATCCACACCATCCTCCAGATCATTTATGAAGATATTGAACAAAACCGGCTCCAGGACCGACCCTTGGGGCACTCCACTTGGGGCACTCCACCAGCTGCCAACTAGACATGGAGCCATTGATCACTACCCGCTGAGCCCGACAATCTAGCCAACTTTCTATCCACCTTATAGTCAATTCATCCAGCCCATAGTTCTTTAACTTGCTAGCAAGAATACTGTAGGATACCGTATCAAAATCTTTGCTAAAGTCAAGGAACAACACGTCCACTGCTTTCCCCTCATCCACAGAGCCAGTTATCTCGTCATAGAAGGCAATTAGATTAGTCAGGCATGACTTGCCCTTGGTGAATCCATGCTGACTGTTCTTGATCACTTTCCTCTCCTCTAAGTGCTTCAGAATTGATTCCTTGAGGACCTGCTCCATGATTTTTCCAGGGACTGAGGTGAGGCTGACTGGCCTGTAGTTCCCAGGATCCTCCTTCTTCCCTTTTTTAAAGATGGGCACTACATTAGCCTTTTTCCAGTCGTCCGGGATGCACAAATTGAGTATTCATCTTTAGCCTTAAATGTTTGGATCTTCCGACATATAGTTTTTTAAATATATCCTTCAAAAGACCACCCTTATCTAAAACACACATGCGAGCCCAGGCTGCCTCAGGCAGAGGGGCACCAGTTTAAGAATACTGCATAGGGCCCCATAAATCGTAAGGACATCCCTGCCCTGGAGGGCAAGCAGAAAAGAGGTTAGGTCCAGGCATGGACCCTAACAGCCCCACCCCACAGCTTGCTAGTTTGTTAATTTCAGCGTACTAAAGGGGCCAGAGAGACACAGAACTGTCCTCTGACAATGTTAAACAGTTAAGCAGGGTTGAGAGTATGGAAACCTCAGGCTGCTTTGTCCCCTGGCAAACAATAGAATCCTCATGCTGCAACTTGGAAATTTATTAAGCAGGATACACAAGAAAATAATTCAAAACAAAACAAAGGATTTTGAAAGTGAGTGTTAAGCAAAACAATTGTAAGCAAAACTTGAAGTCCCTTTTTTTCAGAGAGGATACTTGTGAAATATTTTTTTGTTGAGAGCTGTGAGTTTTGTGGTTACTTTTCCTGCTTTTAACAAAACGGATGCAAAAGGAAGCGGAGGAAGAGAACCAATAGTAAGGTGGGAGAAATATGGCTTTGTGTCGGCGTTTTCAGGACACAGGACAGCTGATCTGTCATGTCTAGATGCTCTGGGCTGGCAAGTCGGTCAGGATAGCTGTTGCTCTGGACCTGACTCACTTTCCCAGTCCTGGTCATCATCTGGCTGTTCTGGGCAGGTCCTTTTCTTCACCAGTTCTTCACTGAGTGGGCTCTCTTATGCCATTGTGCTGGTGTCATGCCTTGCAGTTGATTAAAGGATCAGCTCAAAGACGCACACACACACACAGAGATAGGACAGGCGGAAGATAGCAGGGGATGGAAAGGAACACACAAGGGAAAGGAAAAACAGCAGGATCCTCATGTTTATTAACCTGGTGTCTTGGTGGACTGGCCGTGATGGCCAGGTGTCCCCACTGGTGTGCTGAGCTCTGGGTGTTGCAGTGACCCTGGAGGCTCACCACCCTTCCCCTCTCTGGTTTCTTTCCAGGCAAATGATAACCAAACCCATGCCTATGCAGGAGCCCACCACAGTCCAGGGTAGACACAGATGGACATCATTTTCTATGTGAAAACTGACAAGTCCTTCATGTAAGTCAACATTTTACCCCCTCCTCCAGGCAGCTGCATAACCATGACAAAGATAGACTTGTTTCTGATGAAGTAATCTGAAAATTTCTTCCCTTTTTCCACTTGTTGGTTAGCGTACAGCAAACTAAATTGTTGGTAACCTGGCGATAAAATAAAGGGAGAGTTAGCACAGTGGATCTCTAAACAATTGCTTTTCTGCCATTTCTTATTTGGACTGTTGGATCGAAAAGCTAAATAACTAAACATACAAGAAAATGATTTCTAGCTGCTTGACTTGTCTGTAGATGAAATAACTAATTAAAAAAAAATCACAAGTCTCTTACAATAATGGAAACTGACGTTGCCAAAATGTTCTGCTGGATGGTGTATAATTATCCAAATGCAAAATACGTCTCAGACGGTGAGCTCTCTCAAACAATAATTGCTCAGTTTTAAAGTACGTTTATTTCCTTACAACTTACCTGGCTTCTTCAGGAGTTTGGTTGCCACCATCTCCATGAATTTGTCAATGGTCATATTGTTGAATTCCTGCTCTTTATTTGCCACATCTATGATGCTTCTTCTGCCCTCCACTCCATCTACAAACACCTGGAACACGATAGACATCCTCACTGCTCTTCCATCAGCTGGCAACTGAGCCAGTGCCTTCCCTTCTCCTCACCACCAAGTCTCTGAAGCTTTCACTTTCACTGTTTGTGATGCATTTTTAAAGCAACAACGTCTGCATTACTGACAGCAGTAAAAACAGCCATTAAGAAATGTCTTCCAGAGCAGTCATTGAGGTGGATGCTGGGGCAGCTGTCTCGGGACTGGTCTTGGGGGGAGAGCTGGGTGATGCTGTAGATACAGGTTTAACACTGGTGAAAGGCTTCAATATGATTTTAGCTGTTAGCTGAGATTGGCGTGAGCGTGGGTTTGGTTTGAGCTGGTATTAACAAGACAGCAGGACCTTGTTTTGCAAAAGTAAGGACTCTGCTGAGCCAAACGGTCTTAAGCTCTTCGGACTTTTTCCACAAAAGGACAAAGCAGTGTGACCAAAACCCCTCTCCGTTCTGAACCGTGTTTTGCAGGACAGCGGAAAATAGAAACGAGCTCATGGGCGGCCGGTGACAAGGCCGTTGGGGAAGGCTAGCCCCCAGCCCCTCCCCTTGTGCCCAAGGCCCTGCCCTATATGCCCCCCCTTCTGTCCCCCCTCCCCTGCAGGAGCTCAGAGCACCCCCACCACAGCCCCTGGCCCCAGCGCCGGGCAGCCAGCCCCGGTGCACCATGTGGCAGCACTCCCGGCCCCGGTGCTCTGGGTGGGGCAGCCAGCCTCCGGGTGGCATGGCCCCAGCACCAGCTGCTCTGACTCCCTGCTGGAGGCAGGCCAGCCAGCCCCAGCCAGCCTGGGCTCGCCAAGGCAGAACGCTCTGGGAACTGCAGGAGGGGGCCTGGCCTGGGGGTGGAGTGTGGGCAGGGCCACGCTAGGCTGTTTGGGAAGGCACAGCGTACCCCTGCCTACGTAAGGATACCCGGTGCCCGTGTTCCCGGAGCTCTGAAAAGGGAGGGGGTGCATGCCTGCTGGGCAGCTGAACTCAAGACACTGAGCAGAGCGGTCACAGTGGGCATTGTGGGATAGTGAGGGAGGCCAGTTCTGGCGATATAACAAATGGCACTGTCTACGCTGACGCTTTGTTGCTTTAACTTTGCCGCAAAAAGCTCGATGCCTCTCCTCGAGGTAGTTTTATTTTGTCAGAAAACAGCAGAGTTTTGCCTCCAAAAGGAGCTTTGCAACGTGTCCACCTCCACCGTTTTGTCGGCAAAAGCTGCCTTTTGCGGACACAGCTGTGCAGTGTGGACAAGGCTTGAGCCTCCGGTGTCTTTCCCTCCTCTGCTGTCCCAGCTGCCCCCTCAATCTTTAGAAACTGGTGCCCTGAGCCCCTGCAAATGAAAGTAAGACAATCAGTTTTTAATAAAAGGAGTACTTGTGGCACCTTAAGAGCTCTCCTTACAGTGTGTATGATAACACCCATTGTTTCATGTTCTCTGTGTATATAAATCTCCCCACTGTATTTTCCACTGAATACATCCGATGAAGTGAGCTGTAGCTCACGAAAGCTTATGCTCCAATAAATTGGTTAGTCTCTAAGGTGCCACAAGTCCTCCTTTTCTTTTTGCGAATACAGACTAACACGGCTGCTACTCTGAAACCTGTCAGTTTTTAATGTGACTGTTGTCCCTGCCAAGTCTTTCTCACTCAGGGACAAATCCGACACTCCGTATTCAGGCAAAAATAACCTATTGGCTTCCGAGGAGCTTTGCCTAAGGACTCCATGAGTTTGCTAAAGTGGCCTAGGGAATAAAAGCTCATGTTTTAAAAAACAAATTGCAACATGGCTACAGGCAGCGGTGCTTGATTACAGCCAGTTGTTTTCTTCCTGATGCAGCTCTGGTTGGTGAACTGTGGAGAGGGAGATCTAATCTACGAATAAAAAAAGAGAAAAATGAAAGTAAGTTTTAAGTTTCATTTTCACCGCTGGGTGGGGCAGTGTTTCCAGGAATTAGAGCTGTTTATCAGAACAGTGACACCATGAACAAACATTAATTTTGGACACGCCTGTAGAGAGACAGGCGTGAGCCTGGAGTTCCCCTGCCTGTGACACAGCCCCAAGGGCAGAGGCCCACAAATGCAATTATCCAGGCCAAGGCCAAGCTTCCTGGGAAGCTCAGGGGGGTTTCTGTGGGCTCATCGGGGCTATGCAGGGTTCATGTTTGCAAAGTAACCACAGTAGCTTTTCCTTCAGAATGCCCAGGGGCTTGTACTGAGCATTTAAAACCCAAATGTCCCCTATAGTATGCATACCTCATGCTTGCCTTTGTACCATTTGAATACCAAACACCTTCCACTAAACGCACCAAATAAACTGCATTTCTCTTCATCAAAAACAAGATGTTCGCCCTCCTGTGGTTTCTGTGCTGTAATCAACCACCTCCCATTTCCCATTGGCCCCCCTCACTGTGGCAAAGCAGGTCTGTCTGCTGACTGCCTAGGCAGAGTAGGTGCATCTATGCAGATATGCTCTGCTCCTGAGATCCTTGCCCCAGTGCCTCAGTAGCCATGGGGTATCCTGGCTTACCTATGTTTGTCTGATCATTGTGAAGGGGTGTGTTACTGCATGAATAAATGGGGTTAATCCAGGAAGAGGGTGTCTGCACGTCAAAAAACAATGGCTTCAGATAGTCACCGAGCTACCAACACTTAAAGGACAATGCAGGGGCCATTTGCTCTGATGTTTCTACCTTGGGTCCCCAGTGAGCCAAGCCAACAAGTTTGGCAAGCAGGGGGCTGTTCTGGGGTGCAATAAAACAAGGTCTAATTGTGGTGCTGTCTCTCTCAGTGCATAGGTCATTGATCCTCTGGAGTTCCATCTGTTTTTCTCAGGAAGCTCCATGGTGTCTGTTTCTGTCTCAGGCCTTTTCCCCGAAGCGGGGGGGAAGCCTGGTTCTCCATTCCTCTCTGGAGTCTCCCCGGCTCGCAGCATGAATTATAAAATGCTCATGTCCATTGTCCTAACCTGGTCTTCTCAAGCCCGGGCAATTCTTTTATTATCTAGAAAAAAAGTCCTCTTTAAAAGTCTGTATCCAAAAGTGAAAGAGATTCTCTGTTCAGGCCAAAGAAAAGGGCCTAATGCCTGATTCCTCACAAGTAATCTAGCTAGGTATGTGTTAGATTATGATTTCTTTAAATGGCTGAGAAAATAGCTGTGCTGAATAGAATGAATATTCTTGTCTGTGTGTCTTTTTTGTGACTTAAGGTTTTGCCTAGAGGGATTCTCTTATGTTTTGAATCTAATTACCCTGTAAGGTATCTACCATCCTGATTTTACAGAGGTGATTCCTTTTTACTTCTATTAAAAGTCTTCTTGTAAGAAAACTGAATGCTTTTTCATTGTTCTTAAGATCCAAGGGTTTGGGTCTGTGGTCACCTATGCAAATTGGTGAGGATTTTTACCAAACCTTCCCCAGGAAGTGGGGTGCAAGAGTTGGGAGGATTTTGGGGGGAAAGACGTGTCCAAATTACATTTCTTCAGGAACCCAGATAAAGTTTGGTGGTGGCAGTAGAAGTCCAAGGGCAAAGGGTAAAATAGTTTGTACCTTGGGGAAGTTTTAACCTAAGCTGGTAAAAGTAAGCTTAGGAGGTTTTCATGCAGGTCCACACATCTGTACCCTAGAATTCAGAGTGGGGAAGGAACCTTGACACCTTCACACCCCTCTTCTGTTTTTCCAGCATTTGGGAAATGAAGATTAGCACAGGTGCTGAGTTTTATTTTTGCCGGTGGGTGCTTTCCGCCTTCTGGGTTCACTGTGCACCATGTATGTGCTCCTGCCACATACTGGTGACTTGTGGGTGCTGAGCACCCCCTATTTATTTTTTGGGGGGTGCTTGAGCCCCAGAGCACCCATTGGGTCTGCACCTACGAACACAGGTGCCATCAGTGAGCAGTGTTGGAGTTATGCCTCTGTGTGTGCACGCTAGCCCAGCGAGACGATGGGACCACAAAATGTCCGCCTGTGGGGGCTCCACAGCGACTGTTAGTGAGTGTGCACACCTCTGAGAGCAGGCATCCTCACAGGGCTGTGGTTATGGCTCTTAAAAGGGAGTGATGATCAGTGGATCCTAATCTCGCCAAAGTGCTGGCTCCTGTATAGCCTGGTATTGTCCCCTGCCCTCAGATAGTGCCCCTGTCCCAACTGTAGACTCATCTGTGGTCCGTTAGCAGCAAGTTCTGTAGAAACTGATATTTACACCTCTGAGCAAGCCTGAGAAAGGCACAGTCGGGATCTCTGCTGATTTGCCAAGAAATGGGACGGGAGGCTGGCAGCGACTGGAGTTAGGGGCAGAGATGGGGAGTGGTTGGGCAACGAGACTCTGTCTGGGAGCCAGGGAGGGAAGCGGTGGTGAGGGGATTGGGCAAGGGGGAAAGAACTGGAGGAGGTAGGGTGACCAGAAAGCAAGTGTGTGTGAAAAATCAGCACACTTTTTGGGAGGGTGGGGGGTATAGTTGCCTATATAAGACAAAGCCCCTAATATCGGGATGGTCCTGATAAAATTGGGACATCTGGCAGTGTTCCCTCTAGGTTTTTACATCCATGTGTGGAAGGAATTTTGTTATGTGCACAATATGGAGGCGATGTGTGACTCATCACCTTCATATCAGTGCCCATAACAAAATTCATTTGGTGGGGGTGGGGGCGAGGGGTTCAGAGTGTGGGAGGGGGCTTGGGGATGAGGCAGAGGGTTGAGGTGCAGGGGATGAGGGGTCTGGCTGGGGATGCAGACTCTGGGGTGGGGCTGGGGATGAGGAGTTTGGGGTGTGGGAGGGGGCTCAGGGCCGAGACAAAGGGTCAGGGTGCGGGGGATCAGGGGTTTGGGGTGCAGGCTGTCCCGGGGCTGCGGTGCGTAGAGAGGACTCCCTCCACCCCTCTCTTGCTGCAGCAGCTCGGGGCCGGGTCAGAGGTGCCTCTCCCCGGTCGCATCAGCAATGGCGGGGCTGGGCTGGGCTGAGGGTGGGGCTCCTGTCCCTGTCAGCTACAGCGGGCCTGGGCTGGGCCGAGGGAGGGGCTCCTCTCCTTGGCAGCTCCGGTGGGGCCAGGCTGGGTCGGAGGAGTGGTGCCTCTCCCCCCGGCCTGCGTGGCCCTTGAGAGCCTGCTCCGTGACTGCACAGCTTACAGGGAACATAAACACCTGGTGACCCTACCAGGAGGGGAGGCAGATCGGACAAGGAGCTGAGATAGGCGGGGAGAACTGGAAATGGCTGAGCTAAGATTGGGACAAGGAGCTGGGGAGTGGGAGTGGGGACTGGGAATGGCAAGGTGGGGAGACTGGGACTGGGGTGAGGAATCTGGAGGATTGAGACTGGGATCAGAAACTCAGGAGTGGAAACTGGAGCTGGCTAAATGAGGAGACTGAGAGGGGACGAGCCACGGGTGTAGTGGAGACTAGGACTGGGACAGGGCAGAAGGGGTCAGGCTTCGGGGGCATGGGTCAAAGAGTCTACGTTCACTGCAGCAGTGGTTCTCAACAAGGGGCATGTGTAGCCCTGGGGATACTCAGAGGTCTTCCACTCACCTAGATATTTGCCTTGTTTTCCAACAGGCTCCATAAAAAGCACGAGCGCAGTCAGGACAAGCTAAAATTTCATACAGACAATGACTTGTTTACACTGCTCTATATGCTACACGCGGAAATGTAAGTACAATAGTTATATTCCTGTTGATTTATTTCATAATTATCTGGTAAAACTGAGAAAGTAGCAATTTGTCAAAAACAGTGTGGCTGGGACACTTCTGTATTTTTGTGTCTGAATTTATAAACCGGCTGAGATTCACACATTTCTCTAAAAAGCTGTTAAGTCTACAAGACAATGATATAACTACTTTGAATCAAGTTTATTTTTTTCTTGGGAAATGGCACAATTTGTGGGCGGAAAAAGAGAGAGAAAAATCATTATGTGACACTATTGTATTACTTAAAACAAAACCGATTTAAAAAAGTTAAGGATACTAAGTGACAACAATGTTGTGCTGAAACACACATTTATTATACTGTATCTGATATATATTTGAGCAATATAAGATATATGACGTCTTAAAAGCAAAGAAATGAAGAATTAAAGTATTTGTAAATAAGAGGAAGCATGAGCTTAAGTCCTTTGCTGAATGGGGAGCTAAACAAATTGGATGGAGCGTACAGAGCATTACAGTGTAAGAGTTAGTGGCAACTTAATATTGGCTATAAACAATACAATCCATATGCCCCTAGAAGCTCTAAAATTGTTAGAAAACTATCCATCAAAATTGACTCTATATTTGATTGTCATTGATTTGTGCTCTCTGCACAAGCAAAGCATCACCCCACTCTCTTTTGTTTTTGTCCTTGAAAGACTTTGCCAGCTCTAGGACTATGGGAATAAATCCTGTTCGTCCTTTTGACTGTAGACTACAGAGGTAGCGAATCATTTCTAATTTTCAAATAATGAGAGTTCCGTTAATATTTTACTAGACCTGCACTTAGAATCCCCGTGTGGCATGAATCATTGTCTAAATCCAATCTCTCTGCGTGTAGATAGCTTGTATTTCCTGTGTTCCTAAGTGCTGTACATGGACCAAAAGCAATGGTGAGCAGGCTTGGAGTTATCTAGGAATGGTCAAAAAATCTCAGTCAAAACTGTTTTTTGACAGAAAATTGGGTTTTCAACTAACCCGAGTTTTCCATGGAATGTGTCTGCTTTCTGTGGAAAATTACAAACTTATTCACTGAAAACCAAAAAATTCTCAGCCCAAACCTCAAAAGTTTAATTTTTCAGTTTTTCACAAAATGAAATGTTTAGCAGAAAACATTGACAAAAAATGAATTTTTTTGTGGTGGTGAAATTTTGCACAGGAAGAAAAAAATCTGACCAGTTCTAGTCATATCCTCTTGCCTCACACAATTTCAAGCATACTGTGAGCAGATAGCATTCTGCTAGTAGACGGGCACAAACATTACATTTCACCAAAACTTCCTAGAAGTGTCATTTTAAAATCTCAAAGATCTAATTCAATTTATTCAACATTTTCAGAACAGGAGTCAATTAATTTGTCAATGAGCTTTAATGCTAAACCTCTGAGAGCAAGAAATTTTTTTTTTGGCGTTTCAAAGCAAACCAAAATCCGTCTTGCAGGGAAATGCTAACTACAGTCTTAACTATGAAGAGTCTACTATAATGTGACAGTAGTGGATATCTAAGAACCACGTTCTTCTAACACTGAACAGAGAATATTGCTGTACTGGAATAAAGAAGACCCATAAATTTACTTCCACAGTGAGGCCAGCATAACACATTTTACATAGACCAATTTATTCACAGCTTCACAATGGGTTATATTTAGAAATTTGGTATGTTTGGTTTGTCTTAACCAGCCCCCGCTATTCCCAATGAATGGCAAACCTGAACTTTCTTAGCCATGAAAAGAGTAAGATTGATTAATACTGGGTTCAAGAGGGACTCCCCAGGTTGTGCGTGTTAGATTGCAGTACTGTGTGTGAAAAGCTGGACATGTTTCACAAGCCCCTGTCCCTGTGGGGAAGGTTGGAGGACTGCACAGAAAGAGTGGTTTTTCATTCAGTTAGACAAAATACTTTAAAAGCCAAGATCGAGCCTCTTTATCCTAAGCCTATGAAAACAAAAACATTTGTATTTGGTTTTGTTCAAGTTTGGTTCAGTCTTAGCCACCTTGTAGAGAGGGGAAATATAATTATGATTATGAATTTATGAACCAGCAAAATCTAAGTATCTGTTAATTACATGGGTTCTCCAGTATCATAAACAAGCTACAAAAATGGCATATAAATTTTAGATTACAAGCGTTTTTCTTTTTTCACATATGGCTTAAATATCAGGTGTAGCAGACCTATAATATCCCCCCCCCAACACACACTATCCTTCCTGGAAAAAATGTCATTGGAGGGGATGGGCTTGTCCTGACTCTCTATCAATCTCTTATCTGTCCATCAAGCTTAATTTGACAGGAGGGATAACGTAGCATTCGGGAGTACTGCGTGGAGCTGGGTACTGACCCTGGGGCATTTTCCCAATCTCCCTGGCCTGTGTGGCTGGAACAATGTTGCTTATTTCTGAGCCCATACCGGAATTTGTGTTTGTTTTGGAGCTAGTGGCTTTGCACAGTATTTAAAATAGGCACCACCTTTGCTGGCTCGGCAGTTACGAGCAATTTCAAGGCAAGCGAAACAAAATTCAACTTGACATTGTGGACATACAATATATTCGCACTTTTCTATGTGCTCAATGAGTCTCCCACAGGTGGGACAAGCACGGACGGAGGGACAGTTTTTTATTTCACTTCGTGGAAGATCCTTCAGCTTGCAGTTTGCTAAGACTTCCAGGGACTGGTTCTTGCATCCCTCATTTTCACACCTCTCAGAGGGTGCTCCAGCACCTTTCCAGGGCTTCAGGCACTGCCAGCAGAACTCAAAGACGTCCCCCTTCAGCGAATGGCAGAGGATACAGACCACCCTCAGGTTTTTCAGATCACGGCGTTCCACAAAGCTTTTGCAGTTGGGACACTTAGAGAAAAAACAAATTTCAGATGTGAGTGAGAATGTTACTCCATCCTTTTTAAAAAGAAAGTGACAGAAAATGGTATTTACATCACTTCTGGAGTTCCTTCCCATTTTACAGATCACCCATAAAGATGAGTGTGTGCCTGCAGCGGGGTGGTCACCCACTCCAGCCTTAAAGGGCTTAAAACAGCCCAGGAGAGGCCTGTGGCTGGGAGCAACCAGTTCCCAGGCTGACTGGGGGGAAGCAGGCTCAGCTGTGGCCACGCCCCAATCAGGGCTTAGCTGGCTCTTATAAGAGGGCAGTGGGCCAGGAGCAGACAGTCTCCTCTAGCTGGGGAGGGAGATGGGCCTGGCTGCTGGGGAGTGGACAAGGGTACCTAAGGTGGAGCAGGGCTGGGGGAAGGCCGGAGGAGCTGGGGAGCTTCAGCCTGGAAACCCCCCAGGCTGCAGGCCTAGTGTAAAGCCGAAAAGGGTCCTGGGGTTGCAGGGGGGAAGCCCATGGGTAGGCAGAGGCAGCAGCAGCAGCAGGTCCAAACCCCCCTTGCCTGTGATGATTGGCTTATACACTGCAGTCCGCCTCAGTGTGCGGGGGCTCAGCGGTGACTGGCAGTAGCCAAAGACTGAGGTGAGGTGGGGATAGTGGGTGGGGGTTCCCCAGGGAGGGGAGACCCAGAGATCTGTGGGGGAACTATCAGGGGGAAGCACCCTGGGTAAAAGGGGCACTGGGGTTCAAGAAGGATGTGGGGGCCAGCAGCCTGCAAAAGGTGCTCCGAAGGCCGGAAGAGCTAATTCCCTGAGAGACCGGCAGGAGGTGCTGCAGGGGTGAGTCCCGCACACCACAGTGCCCTTTTGACTTCTTTATGATTTATAATGAAGGTCTGAAAGGGTATTTTCCTCTCCAGAAACACTTATTGTTTTTGATTATTTGCCACAGAAATATCAAGAACATCAAGTCTTAGGCCTTTTCTATACTATACAGTTTTGTCAACAAAAGCTGACTTTTTTGTCGACAAAACAGTGGAGGTGTACACACTGAAATGCTCTTCCTGCTGATGTAACTCCCCTGCTACGTTGACATAATAAAACCACCTCAACAAAAGGCATAGGGCTTATGTCGGTGCAGCTAGGGCGACACAGTGTCTGTGTAGACACTGCATTCCTTACATCGGCCATTCCTTACATCGGCCATTCCTTACTGTCAGCCAGCTCCCCTTCTCAGGAGCCAGAAGCTCCTGGCTGATATATAGGACAATCCTGTCCTGAAGAGTGGCTTGCAGTATATTAAGCAGTAGATCCCTGGCCTCCGTAAACAGTGGTGGTGAACTCCTACTTGACAGGAGTGCACCCTTCTCCCTAAAAACAATGAGGAGTCCTTGTGGCGCCTTAGAGACTAACAAATTTATTTGGGCATAAGCTTTTGTGGGCTAAAACCCACTTCATCAGATGCATGGAGTGGAAAAATACAGAAGGCAGGTATATATATTACAGCACATGAAAAGATAGGAGTTGCCTTACCAAGCTGGGGGGCTCAGTGCTAACAAGGCCAAGTCAATCAAGGTGTAAGTGGCCTATTCCCAACAGTTGACAAGAAGGGGTGAATATTAACAGAGGGAAAATTACTTTTTGTAGTGACCCAGCCTCTCCCAGTCTTTATTCAGGCCTAATTTGATGGTGTCAAGTTTGCAAATTAATTCCAGTTCTGCAGTTTCTCCTTGAAACTGCAGGTTTTTTGTAGAATAATGGCCACTTTTAAGTCTGTTATTGAGTGTCCAGGGAGATTGAAGTGTTCTCCAATTGGTTTTTGAATGTTACAATTCTTGATGTCTGATTTGTGTCCATTTATTCTTTTGTGTAGAGACTGTCCAGTCTGGCCAATGTACATGGCAGAGGGGCATTGCTGGCACATGATGGCAGATATCACATTGGTAGATGCGCAGGTGAACGAGCCCCTGATGGTGTGGCTGATGTGGTTAGGTCCTATGATGGTGTCCCTTGAATAGATATGCGGACAGAATTGGCAACAGGGTAATATATATAAACTGCCTACTGTATTTTTCACTCCATGCATCTGATGAAGTGGGTTTTAGCCCACAAAAGCTTATGCCCAAATAAATTTTTTAGTCTCTAAGGTGCCACAAGAACTCATATTTGTTATTGCTGATACAGACTAACACGGTTCCCGCTCTGAAACCCTTCTCCCTAGCTACTCCTGGAACTGTCCGTGTTCGAGACACCTAGAGAGACCTGTGCTGAAAGGCTGAGGGACAGCTCTGCCTACAGAAGGACATGTGCGTTGGTGAAGTCAGGACCTTAAAAGGAGGCTTGGCACTGAACCCTAGCAGAAGTGGACAGGGTTAGTGGGAGATGAACCAGGCCATACCTGGGACTCCCACATTAGGGAGACTTCCATAGCCCTGCACTGGAACGCTGCTTGGAGGTCAGTGCAGACGCCAAGGCTGGAGGTGATGGCTTAGCCCATTGTAAGAACATGGGTGTTGGTGCTGAAAAGGGTCGTCCTGGGCCCTTCACAGCATCTTTATCTTTAAGAGGGCCTGCCTTGGCCTTAAGGGTTTCCCCAGTAAGATAGGCCTGGCTGCCATTCCAGGAAGCTTGAGGGGTAAACGTCTGGCAAATGAGCACTGTGCTGGAGCATGGATCACCCCAAGGCAGAAAAGATGAATCCAGCTCCAAGAAGATGGAAGGGGAGTAAGCACAGGTGTTTTTCTAGGCTTAAGAGCCCTGCATGCACAGTGCACACCAAAGTCTGACAAAATCTATCAACCTATCTAAGGCATTTGTGGAGGCCCAATGGACACAGCTTTCCAGAAGGTTCTGGAAACTTGAGTTGTCAGGCACACCATCCCATGAATGGGAATGTACAGAGGCCCTTGAAATAGTGCTTTCCTCTGCAGGTCACCTTTCAGGAGATAGACCGTTCTCTGTCTGCTGTGTATGAAGATAACTTTCCCAAATGGTTGTCTGGTTTTTTTTTAAGCTCCATCTCCTGCACATGTCCCCCTGCTCTGTTAGGGATGTGGGCTATGTGAGGCTGGGCAGAGGAACAGCTGGATACAGGATGTCTTCTCCTTGGGATGCCCTGGATCAGTAACCGGCAGCATCACTGTCATGGCGCAACATGGAAGCTGCCGCAACAGCACCAGCAGGAGCAGCTCAGCTTCACTGTTATCTACAAGGTGCCATCATGAATAAAACAAAGGCAGAGGTGTGAAAGAGGAGAGGAGCAGCAGGGATCCGTGCTCACCTCTTTGAAGTCATGGTAATATTTAGCTGCAAACTTTGCAAGTTTTTCTTCAAAGTTCTGTTGCTCTTTTTCAGTGAGTGAAGCATTCCGACGGACTTCCGGATAGGACCATTCCTTCCCACATTTCTCCCCATTAACATCAGCAGGGCAGTGAAACCTCAAGTGACCCTGTAGGCCAGGAAAGCAGAGAAGTAAAAGAGGCAAAGCTGTGAAATTTGAAACCTGTGCCATATTACAAACCACTCTTAAGGTCAGCGTTAACTCCATCTTAATAGAGTTGTTTGTTTTACTTGTTTGGAACTTGGGTCTAGTGGAGATTCTGGAGGTGGTGATTCCAGTGATGGAAGTGATAAAAACAGTCAGAAAAAAATGGTGCTTTCTCTGATTTCTGGAGCAGCTTAATTCTTAATTTCTCTCACTTTGTTGAAGTATATATGGTCATAACCTTAATGGGAAGTGAAGGTTGGGTTTTTTTAAATAACTTGCTAATCTGAGGTTTATGAATGTGTCACTGAGTCATCACCAAGTGAAATATTTATAAATGTATTTAAAGGAGTATATTTGTGAAATATTTCCTGAAGCAAAAAGAACAAAGTCACGGGGAAAAGCTCATATTTAAATGGGGGGGAATCAGTGATTTGAAGAAAAATTGCTTTGATGACTCTGATTGTGGTCTCCATTCTGGCCGTGTGTGCTGTTTTGTGGGGCTACTTATAAAATTACTCTTCTTTCTTTTAGTATTTAACATTTCTTTCCCTGTTTTGTCTGTCTCCTGTTTTGTTCTCATCTGTTCTGTATGTGCAGAGCTTGGAAAACTGCAAAGAGCAATTCCAGCCGCAGTTGGCTGTTTAATCCACCTGATGCTCTCCTTGGTGTGGAGGAACTTCAGGTTCTCATCCACTCAGCCTGCCTTCTTTCTTAAACTTAAGACTAGCTCACTGAACCAGCATGCACGGCACCAAAAGACTGAGATTTAGGAAGCAGGACTCATGAAGAACACGGTAGTCCTCGTGCAGTTTGAGAATGTGCTTTTGCGTTGATTTCGGGATAGCTGCTCTGGGCCTCTTCAGCAACATATTGATTTATGTTAGGATCATCTGAAAGTGCTCAACACGGCTTGATAACATGATCTGAATTTTTATTCTTTTCCCCATCCCTTTTTGCAGTGGATCATAACTTTCGGGGGCATTCATCTACTTCTTGTTATGCATTCCTCTGGCTGGGGAAGCCCATCTTCAGGAGCCATATAACTCAGGGCCAACTACAAGCTGCCTCTTGTAACGCAGTGCTCCTGGGTGGATTGTTGGCAGTGGGGAACAGAATCCAGGAACCTCTGCATCTAAAAGGAAGAGCTTCTGCTGCCTGACCAATGTCTGTTAGCTCAGGGGCTGTAGCAGACTTGTTAAACCTCTATGTGGTTAAGCCTTTAGAGGAAGCGAGATCCACACTGCAGGTGTGTTGGGGAGTATTTGTGAGGCATGTCCCCCTGGGTGCCATATTTATAGAAGACTGAAGGCATAGGCGCCGACTCCGTGGGTGCTCTGGGGCTGGAACACCCACAGGGAAAAATTGGTGGGTGCTCTGCACCCATCGGCAGCTCCCCTCCCCACTCCTCCCCAGCTCGCCTCCGCCTCCATCCCTGAGCGCACCGAGGCTCTAGATCCCAGCGCTTGCCACACAAAAGAGCTGTTTTGCGGCAGCAAGTGCTGGGAGGGACGGAGGAGGAGGGGGAATGCGGAGCGCTCGAGGAAGAGGCGGGGCCGGGGTGGGGATTCGGGGAAGGGGTTGGACTGGGGGCAGGCATGGAGTCGGAGCAGGGCCGGGGCAGGGGGTGGGGCTGAGCACCCACCAGTGCCGCAAACAGTTGGCGCCTGTACCTGAGGGAGGACTACATCAGGTCCGTAGGATAATGCATTGGCTGAAACTGGTGTTTATTTGGGCTATGGAAAACTAAATGTGGCAAGGTGCTCAAGCTTTATTTTATCTCTGAGTGTACTTAGCTCTGTATAGGTCTACAGTACCAGGATCTTTTTGTTCCTCAAGAGAGCAGAGTCAAGAATTTTGACTTTCTGCTAGGTAGGGTACTTCCCTGCATGGGTCATTCATGTCCATAAGATCTAGGTATGTCTCTAAAATTCTTATGCTCACCCTGGGTTATTGTTTGCACACTTTCTGGGTCCACTTTGACCACGTCTCATCAATAATTTGATCTAAAAACTTCATTTTGTCCCTTGAGAATTTGCATGTATCCATTTTATCCACAGTGTCATCTCATAGAATCATAGAATAACAGAGTTGGAAGGGACCTCTGGAGGCCGTCTAGTCCAACCCCCTGCCCAGAGCAGGACCAATCCCAACTAAATCATCCCAGCCAGGACTTTGTCAAGCCTGCCCTTAAAAACTTCTAAGGAAGGGGATTCCACCACCTCCCTAAGTAACACATTCCAGTGTTTCACACCCTCCTAGTGAAAAAGTTTTTCCTAATATCCAACCTAAACCTCCCCCACTGCAACTTGAGACCATTACTCCTTGTCCTGTCATCTGCTATCACTGAGAACAGTCTAGATCCATCCTTTTTGGACCCACCTTTCAGGTAGTTGAAAGCAGCTATCAAATCCCCCCTCATTCTTCTCTTCCGTAGACTAAACAATCCCAGTTCCCTCAGCCTCTCCTCATAAGTCATGCGTTCCAGTCCCCTAATCATTTTTGTTGCCCTTCGCTGGACTCTCTCCAATTTTTCCACATCCTTCTTGTAGTGTGGGGCCCAAAACTGGACAAAGTACTCCCGATGAGGCCTCACCAATGTCTAATAGAGGGGAACGATCACGTCCCTCTATCTGCTGGCAATGCTCCTACTTATACACCCCAAAATGCCATTGGCCTTCTTGGCAACAAGGGCACACTGCTGACTCCTATCCAGCTTCTCATCCACTGTCATCCCTAGGTCCTTCTCTGCAGAACTGCTGCCTAGCCATTCGGTCCCTAGTCTGTAGCGGTGCATTGAATTCTTCCGTCCTAAGTGCAGGACTCTGCACTTGTCCTTATTGAACCTCATCAGATTTCTTTTGGCCCAATCCTCCAATTTGTCTAGGTCCCTCTGTATCCTATCCCTGCCCTCCAGCGTATTTACCACTCCTCCCAGTTTAGTGTCATCCGCAAACTTGTGGAGGGTGCAATCCACACAATCCTCCAGATCATTAATGAAGATATTGAAAAAAAACCGGCCGCAGGACCGACCCTTGGGGCACTCCGCTAGATACGGGCTGCCAACTAGACATGGAGCCATTGATCACTACCCGTTGAGCCTGACAATCTAGCCAACTTTCTACCCACCTTTTAGTGCATCCATCCAGCCCATACTTCTTTAACTTGCTGACGAGAATACTGTGGGAGACCGTGTCAAAAGCTTTGCTAAAGTTGAGGAATAACACATCCACTGCTTTTCCTTCATCCACAGAACCAGTTATCTCATCATAGAAGGCAATTAGATTAGTCAGGCATGACTTTCCCTTGGTGAATCCATGCTGACTGTTCCTGATCACTTTCCTCTCGTCTAAGTGCTTCAGAATTGATTCCTTGAGGACATGCTCCATGATTTTTCCAGGGACTGAGGTGAGGTTGACCGGCCTGTAGTTCCCAGAATCATCCTTCTTCCCTTTTTTAAAGATGGGCACTACATAAGCCTTTTTCCAATCTTCCGGGACTTCCCCCGATCGCCATGAGTTTGCAAAGATAATGGCCAATGGCTCTGCAATCACATCCGCCAATTCCTTTAGCACTCTCGGATGCAACACATCCGGCCCCATGAACTTGTGCACGTCCAGTTTTTCTAAATAGTCCCGAACCACTTCTAGTGTCATCTGCAGATGACACTAAGCTAGGGGGAGAGGTAGAAATGCTAGATGGTAGGGATAGGGTCCAGAGTGACCTAGACAAATTGGAGGATTGGGCCAAAAGAAATCTGAGATTCAACAAGGAGAAGTGCAGAGTCCTGCACTTAGGATGGAAGACTCCCATGCACCGCTACAGGCTGGGGACCGACTGGCTAAGCAGCAGTTCTGCAGAAAAGGACCTGGGGATTATAGTGAATGAGAAGCTGCATATGAGTCAGCAGTGTGCCCTTGTTGCCAAGAAGACTAACGGCATACTGGGCTGCGTTTGTAGGAGCATTGACAGCAGACCGAGGGAAGTGATTATTCCCCTCTGTTGGGCACTGGTGAGGCCACACCTGGAGTATTGTGTCCAGTTTTGGGCCCCCCACTACAGAAAGGATGTGGAAAAATTGGAGCGAGTCCAGCGGAGGGTAATGAAAATGATCAGGGGGCTGGGGCATATTGACTTATGAGGTGAGGCTGAGTGAACTGGGCTTGTTTAGTCTGCAGAAGAGAAGAGTGAAGGGGGATTTGTTAGCAGCCGTCAACTGCCTGACGGGGTTCTAAAGAGGATGGAGCTCAGCTGTTCTCAGTGGTGGCAGATGACAGAACAAGGAGCAATGGTCTCAAGTTGCAGTGGGGGAGGTCTAGGTTGGATATTAGGAAACACTATTTCACTAGGAGGGCGGTGAAGCATTGGAATGGGTTCCCTAGGGCGGTGGGGGAATCTCCACCCTTAGAGGTTTCTAAGGCCCATCTTGACAAAGCCCTGGCTGGGATAATTTAGTTGGTGTTGGTCCTGCTTTGAGCAGGGGATTGGACTAGATGACGTCCTGAGGTCCCTTCCAACCCTAATATCTTCTAGGATTCTATGATTTGGCAGAAGTCATAATTCCTGGAAAGGTTCATCTTCCTTTGAAAGTGTTCAAAGGCAGATGATATGCCGAATGGATGTTGACTAAAACAAAAATTTCCAAATGGTGTAATAGAAGTAATTAGTAGTGTAGAGTCTATGGCTACTCAAAAGAACTGCAACTGGGCATGGCATTTTGAGAGGACTTTTGTGTCTCCAGATTCATAGAATCATAGAACCATATGGTTAGAAGGGACTGCAGGGATCATCTAGTCTAACCCCCTGCCAAGATGCAGGATTGCAAGTTGTTCTAACGTATGTTCTACACATTGAGGTACATGTCTCTTCCCTCAGAGATTCTCATTAAGCTTAAAAAATTGTACATGGATCTGAATCTTTGGGTTTTGGGCCTGTCACTAGCACACCATTCTGCTGGAATATCTACTTGGAAAGTTACATGCATCTTCTCCATTTGACGGAGTTCCTCTTTTACCTGGCTGTTAGTGGGAGGGAGACTTCTAGGTGCTGGCAGGGAGTGGGAATTGAAAGCAAATGGGGTGGCAGGTGGAGCTGCCTGTTGCCAGCTCTAAGGAAGTCAGTGACTGCTGTGTCAGGGCTCTGGCTGTGTTCAGTGTTTTGTATATAATGTGATCTCACCTCATTGCTTTGTGTACCCCTTCCATTACAATATCATTACAACCCAAAGTACCAACACAATGTTCAAAAGGCTGTTCGTACAGCTTTTCCAACCCAGACCAGGAATTGCTGGATCTCTTGTCACATTTCCAGCCCAATTTTGCAGACTCAAAACGTTCGAAGAACTCAAAGGCTTTAAAAATAGCATCTGGACTTCAGTTGTTTATTTGCAATGGACCCTTTGAATGTTCTGAAGTTCTCTTGTCACTGGAAAGAATGATCTCTTTGCATCACAGGTAGTTGCTTATTTCTCCTGGGTGGGGAGGGAAGCACGGGATGGGAGGGGAATAACAGTAAATGGTCTCAAGGCCTGGCTACACTTGCAGCTGTAGAGCGCTTTGAGTTAAACCAGCCTTCGGCGAGCGCAATCGGGAAAGCCCTGCAGTCTGTCCACACGGACAGCTGCCAGTGTACTGGCATGGCCACATTTGTGGCCCTTGCAGCGGCATTGGGAGCGGTGCATTATGGGCAGCTATCCCAGCACGCAAGTGGCTGCAACGTGCTTTTCAAATGGGGGGTGGGGTGGAGTGTGTTGCGTGTATGGGGGGGAGAGAGTGGGTTTGGGAGGGGCTGAGAGCGTATCAATGTGCTGTCTTGTAAGTTCAGACAGCAGCAGACTCCCCCGCCTCTCTCTCTCACACTCACTCACACACACCCCATTCCACAGTAATGGTTGCTTTGTCCCGGAGCAGATAAGCAGCCGGCTGTCAGAAACGGAGCTTTGACAGGGCACATCCGCATTCCTACAGCCGAGTTCACAACAATGGCAAGAGTGGCCCCTTGACTGAAGGGGATGATGGGGCGTTTCCAGAGGCCGATCAGAGCGCAGTAATGCAACACCTCGTCCACGCTGAGGCCCGGGCGTGGTAGCCAAGGCGCACCCGGCGGTAATCTTCTCGCCGAGGTGAAGTACCAGGAGCACTCTACGTGCCTTGCCAGTGTGGTCGGGGCGTCGGCTAGTGCGCCCAGGGCTCCTTTACTGTGCACTAACTCACAAGTGTAGCCAAGGCCTCAGAATGCCCCACATTACCAGCTGAAGACAGTTTTCCCACTTGACAGAACATTTCAATATATCAAGGGAGATATCTCTGGAAGAAACCAAATATATTAAAAACACGTAGTATGGCTTTTCTGACTGCCTTCGGTGTTCTCTTACCTGGTCTAACAGACTTCGGCACCAAGCTGTTAAGGAAGCAGGAACCATAGCTTGTCCACAAGACATTTCCACCCTCATTACATCATCATCATCATCACCTGACAAGCCAGGAGACACTAGCTGAATTAACGTAAAAATCCTCTCAAAACTGAGCGTGTTTATCAAGTCTGGATCTTTGGTCGGGGAGATTCTGCACCCTCCCCACCCAGCACTGAAGTAACTGGCACAGGATGTGTCTAAGTACTGATATTTACAAAAGTTCCTCAGGGATTTAGGGACTCAAGTCTCATTGACTTTCAGCGGGACACATGGGACTTACACTTTTAAAACCCTGGGATGCTTTTGAAAAACTGGTGTTAACACATTTAAATATTTTCTCCTTCTGCTTTCCTTATTTGGTTCAGACCATTCTTTCTTTTTACCCTTTGGGGAAAGGGGCCTTCTGTCTCCTTCCCAAAGACCTGAGGACCTCCCTGTTCCCCAGCTTTCCCACTTAGAAAGGATGTTGTTAAAGCAAAAGATTGGGAGTTGGACGATCTGAGTTCTAGTCCCACTACCGCAGACTTCCTGAGCCTTCTTCCTCCTGGTCCTTTGGCTCCTTCAGGCCAGCTAGGCTGTCATAAAAATGCACAGAGCATGTACAGCCCCCCCCCGCCCCAGAATATTGCCAGGTACAGGAAGGGGAAACTCTCCTGGTGCTTGCAACAGCTCCACCCAAAAGAGATTGCATCACAAAACTAGCAATAATACAGCGTTTCTTCAGACTGAAACTGTTTCTTCCTCTGAAACTCTTCAGACTGACTGTCTCGCGCACTAAGAAAAAGAACTTGTAAAGCTATTTTAACATTGCTATCTGATGTCTCCCCCATAATAGTCATAGTCTCCATCCCATTCCTTAGATGTCCTGACATTTTCCTGGCTTTTTGACTACTGTACATGTTGAACAGCGGTCTCCATTGAGCTGTCTGCAGCGATGCTTAAGCCTCTTTTACAAAAGGCTCAGTACAAGCCAACCAGCAAATCTGGGGGGCACGTGACCCAGCATGCCCCTCACTGTCGCCTCTGTGAGTTTCATACAGACAAAGGGCTCTTTACATCTTTTGACCCAAATACTTTTATATTAGTTCAATTTAAAGTAATGATCATTTTCATACCCTCTTTCAACTTCTTAGCTGGGGCAGGATCTGTGTTCTGATCCACCAGCCTGGCCATGAATGGGCAGAGTCCCAGGCTCGTAAAAGGGGGCATATCCCCACCCCCCACATCTATGGCTACAGCATAGGTGGGCTGTGAAGCAGAGATGGGAAAACTACGGCCCACAGGCCGAATCCAGCCTGTCAGGGCTTTGGATCCAGCCTGCAGGATTGCCAGCCCCACGCTGCTTCCAGAAGCGGCCGGCACCACATCCCTGTGGCCCCTGGTGGGGAGGCGGGGGCAGAGGACTCTGTGCCCTGCCTTCACCTGCAGGCACTGTCCCCTGCAGCTCCGGAGAACTGCAGCCAATGGGAGCTTCGGGGGAGGTACCCACAGGCGAGGGCAGCGCACGGAGCCCTCTGCCCTACCCTCCCCAGGGGCCACAGGGACTTGGTGCCGGCCGCTTCCAGGAGCAGCACGGGGCCAGGGCAAGCAGGGAGCCTGCCCTGACCCCAGTGCATGCCGCTGCCACCCCGGAGCCCACACCCCAACCCCTTCTGCACCCCAAACTCTTGCTTGAGCCCCTTCCTGAACACCACACCCCCTCCCACACCCCAACCCCCTGCCCCAGCCCTGCATGCAATTTCCCCACCCAAATGTGGCCCTCAGGCCAAAAAGTATGCCCGCCCCTGCTCTAAAGGCGTCATCTGCTTCCCTAATGCCACCCCTCTCTCCACCATTCCTCTCTCCAGACACCCCAGAGAAGTGGGAGAAGAGTGTCCACGCATGCTGCATGCACCTACGGGCTGCTTTTTATAGTGAGCCGTGTGTGCTGAACAGGAAACTACAAGGAGCAAAGTCACCCAATAGCAGGTTTCAAACTAGGGCCATTTACATAACGATTTTAAGTTTCTGCTTTGCTGTCATGCTTCAAAATGGCTTGAACATCTGGTTATACAAACTCCAATTCCATTTCAGAATGGTGAGACAATGCCCCTTCACCACCCCTGCAGCGTGTTTGCCACAAACAAGGAAGGACCTAAGTGATCAGGCTGATAACAAATGAAAATGCTGCCCAGAAATACCTGTGATATCGTCCTTTCGATGAACAAATGTTAGTTCAGGCTCTTCATTATCTTTCCCAGGAGGTTCCATAGTCTTAGCTGGAGAGGTAAAGGGGACAGAAAAGACCCCTCCAAAAATTGTCGCTCAGGGGAGAGAGCCCAGGCCGCCTGGCCCAGGACTCCCCAAGATGGACTTGGGTGAAAGTCACTGATTTCTGCGCAAACAAGTTTTGTTCTATGCTTTGTTCCTGTCGACTAATAATCCTTCTGTTTTATGTTGGCTGAGAGTCATTTCTGACTGTGGAGTTGGGGTATAGGGCCCTCTGGCTTCCCTAGGAGCCCCGCCTGAGCGGACTCACTGCAAGAAGTTCACAGTGTGGAAGGGGATGCTGTGTAACCTTCTTGCCCAGGAGACAATATGGTCAGAGAGAGGAGGCTCCACCAGAGTCCTGACGGACTTTGTATGGAGTAGTTCCAGAGCATCGCCCCGGTGTCTCTGTGACAAGGCTGAACCACCAATCAACAGATTCCTGTGTAAGCAGTGTCAGGATGAGCTCCACTCTGACATCTGGTGGTGAGGTGTGGCAAGTTGTGGAAAAGAACTTCAGGGGCCGATCTCATTTTCATAGGCACGCCCACCCCACCTAGAATGAGGCCATAGCTGCCCAAATGGTCACTTTGGCTGCTGTGGGATCCCCAGTGTCTCTGTCATTGGGGCGGGAAGAATAAATTGTTATTACGGGAACTGTACTTGGCCTTTTGTTATGATGGAGGGGCTCACCATCAACTAAGTAGCACTCACTAGTCAAGGGTCATGGGTTCCAAAACTCTGTGAATGGAGAGAGGCTGGGGATAAGTATTAATACTTGGTGGTGTGGGCCCCTTGGGGAGGGCTTTATCTGCTAATTGCACTTCCTCCTCTCTCCACTGTGGAATATCCGAGCTAATTTTGATTCCATTAGGAGTCTAGTTACAGGCTGCTGAGCTCACTTTGGGCTAATAGTGCACCAGCACTGAGGCTCCCCTACTACAAGCTGAATTCACCTAAGAGCTGAAATCACTGAGTGTTGTGTTAAGTAGTGGGGGAGCCTGAAGATATATTGTGGAGCAGTTTGTGGGACGGCTGGAGCTGCTGGTGGGATGCAGAGCAGTTCGTGGACCGGTTGGTGGAGCAGTTCATGGGATGGCAGGAGCTGTGTGTGGGTCACAGAGCCGAGCGAAGCAGTTCGTGGGGCGGCTGGTGGAGCAGAGCGGCGCGAAGGCCTATGGAGCTGTGGGGCGGTCAGCTTCAGATCATGTAAGGCACCTCTTACCTCCACCCCATCTCCACCCAGGTTGGGAGGTAAAGCTCTGTAGATAAACTTTTGAACTCTGGGGCTGCCCTGACCAGGGACAGAGACTTTTGGGTCATTGGACTTTGGGTGATTTGGGGTTGCTGGACTCAAGAATCAAAGGGAAAGGGGCATGTCCCCATTTGCTTGGGGTGGGTTTTTTGCTCATGGGTTGTGTTATGAATCCTGTTGGTGGTGTTTCCCCAACATAATGCCACATTGTTTCTCTCTGTTATTAAAAGGCTTTTTGCTACACTCAGACTATGTGCTTGCAAGAGGGGAAGTATTGCCTCTTGGAGGCACCCAGCAGGGGTGGTATCTATTTGTCCCAGGTCACTGGGTGGGGGTCGAGCCGGTTTGCATTGTGTTATTGGAATGGATCCCCTAGATATTGAACCCGGCCCTTGTTGCTTCCAGCTCTGACGGGCAGAAGGGTTACACCTGCCAGGCAGGGTGAGGTAGTAAAAGAGAGCAAGTTGGTGCAGCAGCTGTTCCTGTTATAATATGAACAGAGTAGCCGCAGTGATACTGTAGGATTATCAGGAGTCTGAACCCCAAAACTAGAGGCTTCTGTCAGCTTAAAGTAAAACTATTTTTCAGTACAAACCACTCCATAGGCAACCCTTAAAGGAGAAAGTAAATTTTCTTCCTAGCAGCCAGGAGGCAACGGTATCTGGCTTCTTCAAGTTTTCTCAAACCCCTTTCCGCAGGGCTTCTTTTATGAAGAGTCCAGAACTTCCCCTCAGGGTTTCTGTGGGTGTAACCCCAGCTGGGGAAATTTGGCCTAAAAAAATTACTTTCAAGGCAAAATAGCTTGAAGACTTTTCTCTGCATCTTCAATCGGATCTTCTTCTTCTTCTTCTTCTCTCTGCCCCCGTGTCACCTCCCCAGAATCTCCTTTAGCCAAGTTCTAAGAATGTAAAACAGACTTTGTGGATGAGCACTGCTTCTCTAATACTTACAGTCCTCCAATATTGTGCTGGCGTTGGGTATTGGTGTAAGGATTTAAATGGATTGTCCAGTATGTAAAGCACAGTTGCCAACTTTCGTGCAGTAAATAAGCACCCTGACTTTCACAATAAGCCAAAAATTAAGCTAATCCCATTTCAAAACAAGCCAATCCCTAAGAACCCCAACACTCTATGTGACTAGATTCCCCCTGGCGTGCAGTCTGGGACTGGGGTGGGCCCACTGTGCACCCCGACTCTCTCCCTTCCTTGCCCCTGCTTGCAACCCTTTCCTGGGAGCAATTCACAAGCCAAAAACAAGCCCAATTTCTGCGTTTTTCCCGTGGGTTTGGAATGTCTGATGTAAAGGTGAATTATCTAATCATATGCACAGGGAATCAAGTGTTCAAAACACCAGAAGAACTAGCCCTGGCTTTTCTGACATATGCATGAAGGATCTCCTAGCCCTGCCTCATTCCTTGCACACAATACACCTTTACACCCATCCAGTCATAGCGAAAGTGATAGCTCAAGGAGCAGCCAAGTATAAACAGTGACCAAGAGCCTCTTTACAGACCAAGAGGACAGAGTCAGAGAAATAAAGGATTCAGTTGTAAGAACTGGGTGTGTGTGTGTATGTGTGTGCTTTCAGAATAGATAATGGATCTTGTATTTAAGATAAGATAAGAACATTATTAAATGGATCAAGTAGCGAATGCGTGACTGTAGTTTATTTTAGTTAAAAAGGAGGAATCAGACTTCTTTTCGTTCAGCTGTCTGTGGGCCTAACGAAGGGACACTACTAGACTATTCTCTGGTTAACATGCAGTGTGTTGAAACGTGCCACAATTTCAGATACTTGAGGCTGTCAGATGATGCACTAAACACATGAGGAGATACGAAGGAAGGCACAAACGGGCAAGTCGGTTAGTATTGCTAACATAAATAACAGCAGTAATCACATATTGTTTGTATAGTCCCAAAAGTGTCTAGCTGCTTGTATAAACTGAAGGTTTTGTTGGGGGTTAGCCAGCTAGTTAGGATAAAATAAGAACTGCCTTATCATTGAGTTAGGACCCCAATATTTTAATAAGGGATTGTGACTTTACCCAGGGTATAGTCTGGACTGGTGAATGGCTGTATCCCCTCAATCCTCCAGCCTGCGGTGCCTTTTACCCTGCTTTGCTGTAAGAGCAACCACTCCTGGTCTGCTCACATACAGCCTCCAGCATGTAAATCACTCCCAAATATACTGTGTGAGTGCTAGGACCAGCCACTGTTGAGTTACACAGCAGAGCAATACCAGCAAATTCCCAGTCCCAGACTTGCCCCCGGAAATGTGCGTCTTGTACCGTCCTGCACAACACAAGCTCAGAGAAAGTCCGTCATTTTATTAATAGAAAATGATGTGGACAAATCTTGTTATCCCAAATGGTGTTTCCCATACACTTGGGTAAAAGCACACTGGTGTTGATAAAACAATAAAGCAAGTTTACTAAGTACAGAAGGATAGATTTTAAGTGATTACAAGTAATGAGGCATAAAAGTCAGAATTGGTTACAAGGAAATAAAACGTACAATGCAACGAACACCTGACTTAACAAGCTAAGTGAATTCAAAGAAAAGTCTCCATCACCCCATTTCCTCAGGAAGTCAGTTCAAACACAGCCTTTTGCTATCAGCCCCCCCCCCCCATGTCTATTGACCTCTGGAAAATCCAGACCGAATGAGTGTATGCAAGCCTACCCGGGACTGCCACTCTGGAGGTGCTTACAACCTGAGTGATCACCTTACTCAGCCCTCCCCACCGTTTATAGTTCCTGGAGGAACTGTGGAAATCTTCCCCATGGCCCACAGTGATACATAAACCATTCATAACCTTAATGCAGTATGCTTCCCCTAAAGATCCTGTCTGTGGGTGCACCCCCGGTACAGAAGCCCTCCCATCGGCATAGGGAGTGTCTTCACTGAAACGATACAGCAGTGCAGTTGCAGCATTTTAAGTGTAGACAAGCCCGAGGGTTGCCAACTTTCTAATGGCACAAAATGGAACACCTTTGTCCTGCCCCACCCCTTCTCTGAGTTCCCACCCCTGCTCACTCCATCTCCCATCCCTCCTCACTCACTTTCACCAAGCTGGGACAGGGGGTTGCAGTGTGGGAGGGAGTGAGGGCTCTGGCTGGGGTTGCGAGCTGTGGGATGGGGCCGGGGCTGAGGAGTTTGGGGTGCAGAAGGGGGCTCCAGGCTGGGGCCAAGGGGTTTGGAGTGAGGATGTGGGAGGGGCTCAGGACTGTGCAGAGGGTTGGGGTGCAGGGGGTGTGAGGGGTCTGGCTGGGGTGTAGGCTCTGGTGTGGGGCCAGGATGAGGGGCTTGAGATACAGGAGGGGATCCGGGCTGGGGCCGAGGGGTTCGGGATGCAGGAAGGGGTGAGGGGCATAGGCGCTGACTCCGTGGGTCCTCCAGGGCTGGAGCACCCACGGGGAAAAACTGGGGGGGTGCTCTGCACCCACCGGCAGCTCCCCGCCCTGCCGCCCCACCCCACCTCACCTCCGCCTTCTCTGAGCACACCTTCCCCGATTTTCCTCCCAGTGCTTGCTGCCACAAAACAGCTGTTTCGTGGCATAACAAGCTGTGGGAGGGAGGGGGGAGGAGTGGGAATGTGGCACACTCAGGGGAAGAGGCGGGGCCGGGGTGGGGATTTGGGGAAGGAGGTCCAATAGGGGCAGGGAGGGCGCGGAGTTGGGGCAGGGACTTTGGGGAAGGGGTTGGAATGGGGGAGGGGCCCGGGTGGAGTCACGGCGCGACCGGGGGTGGGGAGGGGTAGGGCAGGGGAAGGGGTTAGAATGGGGGCAGGGCAGGGGTGGAGTCGGGGCAGGGCCGGGAGGGGCGCGAACCCCCACCGGCGCCCGGAGAAGTTGGCGCCAATGATGTGGGGTGTGGGGTCCGGGCAGCACTTATCTAAGGCGGCTCCTGCGAAGCGGCTGGCAGGTCCCTGCGGCCCCTAGGCGTATGGGGGGGCCAGAGAGGCTCCACACACTGCCCGTGCCCACAGGCACTGCCCCTGCAGCTCCCATTGGCCGGGGTTTGGAAACAGTGATGGCCGGAAAGGTAGGCTTGAAATTGCGATCAAGGAAACCGTCTCCTGTTTGATCCGACTGCATGCAGTGACCCAGGCTTTGGGGCACATGCTTTGTAAGTGAACATGATTGCAGCACAGACATACCTGACATTTATATTCTAACAGAAATAAACCACAAGAGCTGAGTACTGGCTAAATGCTCCTGCCAAAAGAGGGGAAAACTATGGAGCTCAGCTGTCCCTTTGGGAAAAAAAGCTTTCGGCAGAGAGGGGTATTGTGGATATTCCTGAGAAAAAACTGAGACAGCTCCAGCAGATCAATGAACTATACAACTTAAGGGAAAGTTACACCCTGGCACAGTAGCCGGTTTAGGGACTAAACAGCAAAATCTAGCCTGAGGTGCTAAGTAGCGAGTAGGAACGAAGCAGGAACCTGGTGCCCTGGTGCAACAGACGTTTTGGCTGTTTTATTAAATAGTGCCCCTAGCACCAGTCTCTGCCCAGAGATGTTGGCTGGTGCCCAGGAGAGGGGGGAGTGTGTTAGGCTGCAGGCTTTGGCAATATGGGGTCGTGGTAAGGTGATATGTGCCAGGGGCAAGCAGTGAGGAGGCATGTGGTGTTGGTCCGTGTGTTGTCTTGTGGGGTCACAAGAAGGAGGCGAAGTCTGGACTCTTAGAAGTAAGGCTCTGTTAGAGCCAAAACATAGTTACAGAGGAGAGCTATGGCCTCCTTGCTGTGTATCTGAGCAAGCTGCCGCTAGACTGCTTCGAACCAGTTCTCCTTAGCATGTGCCCTGCTCTTAAAGGCAGAGTATGTACTTCTAACAGCAGTGGGAGGTGGTCGATTACAACAGGGAAACCTCGTGTGATAGGGTGACCACCTTTTCGAAAGGCAAAAGAGGGACACAGGCAGGCGCCCTGCCCCCTGCTCCTCCTCTTCCCCTGAAACCCTGCTTCCCCCTCTCCCCTCCAAGGCCCTGCACAGGACGGAAGCCAGAGTCGAGCCCTGGTAAAAACCACCCAGGGAGCTCGGGCCACTGTGGGAAGCCCCGGACCCTCCACCTGCCATGGGCCAAGGGCAGGTGGAGGGTCCAAGTCTCCCCACAGCAGCTTGGGCTCCCTGGGCGGCTCTTACCACTGCCCAGCTCTGGTTGGCTTCCAGCCTGGCCAGGGGCAGGGCCTCAGCTAGGAGAGGAGGAGCGGGGGGGGGCTCATGGTGATGAGGGGCTAAGGTCCATCTCAGCCTCCTCCACTGGAAAGAGGCTGGTGCTTCCCCTGAGCCTCAAGCAGGCGCAGAGCACCGCCGCAGGGAATCCGGGACAAATGCTGTCCTGGAGTCAGTCAGCCCGGGACCAGGACTTGAACTCTGTATTTCGGGACAGTTTACCTAGGGGAATGCAGAAGAGAGATATGGTTGTCACAGGGGATGTCTGGCTTTTTAATGCTTACTGCAAATTGCTTGGTGGTCTGCAGGCCTTGAAGCAGCGAATTCATTGCAGAGGATGCCCTCTTTCTATTTAATAAAAAGGGGGGTTACTTTGCAAACTGTGCCTTGCATCGCCCTGATGATCATGCAGCCAAACCCCTGAGCTTCACAGGAAGCATGACCTTGGGCTGGGCCAGGCCTTTGTGGGGCTCCGCCCTTGAGGGGAATTCCAGACTCCAGCCTGTCTGTTTACAAGCAGGCTCAAAGATCAACTCAAGGCACGACTTTCTGAAAACAGCTCGACTCCTGAAAATGCTGCTTCAGTCAGCAAGGAACATGAAACTTAAAACTGTCTTTCACTTTCTCTTTCTCGGGGAGGGGGGGTAGTGATCGATCTATCTAGTGTAGACACGATAAATCGATCCCTGATCATTCTGCCATCGACTTGGGAACTCCACCACGCTGAGAGGCGGAAGCGGAGTCGACGGGGGAGCAGCCGTCGTTGATCCCACACCGCGAGGATGCAAAGTACGTGATTCCAAGTCGATCTAAAATACGTCGACTTCAGCTACGCTATTCTCGTAGCTGAAGTTGCGTATCTCAGATCGATCCCCCCCAGTGTAGACCAGGCCTTTGACTCTCAGCTTTCCTCCCTACATATTTCACCAGCTGGTGCTGCATCAAGTAGAAAACAGTTGTAGTAATCAAGCGCAGTTGCCTGTAGCCATGTTGCAAGCAGTTTGAAATGACCTTTTAATCCCTAGTCCACAAAACCATGCAGCCAAAACTCCTTGGAAACCAACAGGATTTTTGCCTGAATAGGGTATTATGTTATTGACATAAACTATGACCGTATAGATCATTGTTGCAACCACTGTTATACAATATTTGCAGCAAATATTGTATGAAGTGTGAGAAGAAGAAAAGGCTGACCCAGAGGTGGATTTGAGTAGATGGGCTTCTTTATTGCTGTACTTGTTCCCCTGGATGCAATTGTCCAGTAAGCGCTGGATTAGTTACAACATTCTCTTTTTATTTACATTAGGATGTAAATCCCTACATTTATTACAAACACCCCCAATATCCTTACGGAGTAATATGAATGCCCACACAATGAATATTGATAACCTTATACTGAATATAATTATCCCTGCCCCTGATTACTATTTACCTCATTGGCATGTTCTACCGATAAGTTTTACTTTGAAGATACGCTCCTTTGCTATAATTGCAGTCATGAACTCCTTGGATCAGCAGTTTGCAGGGAAGGGAGGAAGGGGCCATGACCCCAAACTTGCCTGTGCAGCTGGGAATGAAAGGGAGAGGGAGATAACACCACGTTATCCAAAAAGGCATCCTTTAGCTCCCAACATTCCTCAGGCAGCTGCAACATTCTCAAACCCTTAAGAAGGAGAAGGGAGGTAACCCTAAATCTATCAGACACAGAAAGATGCCTGCACTTTATCAAGTGCAGAAGCAGTGCTTGCCCGTGCCTTTACTCCCTAATGCAGGGGTCGGCAACCTATGGCACGTGAGCCGATTTTTAATGACACGCTGCTGCCTGCTGGGTCCCAGCCACCGGCTCCGCTCAGCCTGCTGCCGAACCCAGGCCGGGACCCCGGCAGGCAGCAGCGTGCCATTAAAAATCCTGCTTGTCCCGGCTTGCTCTTCTCCACCCCCTGCCCCCCCCCGCCACGGGGCAGGGTGAAGAAGCTTGGTCCTGCCGGCTGCTGCTGCAGGGAAGGCAAGGTCCCCCCTCCCCTGCCTCTTTTCCGAGCGTGCTGGGTTCCTGCCCCTCCTCCTCTCCCTCCCAGCATATCCCCTCTAGCCCCCTGCCGTGAGCCACTCAGGGCAGGGGGCTGGGAGCACCCCCACGACCCTAGACCACACCCCAGCCCTCTGCCCTGACCCCTACATCCCCCCCACACACACCTCAGCCCTCTGCCCTGACCCCTGAACCCCCTCACACACACCCAGCCCTCTGCCCTGACCCCTGCACCCCACACGACCTCAGCCTTGACTCCAGCACCCCCTCACATACCCAGTCCCCCCACAACCCCAGCCCTGACTCCTGCACCCTCCCCACACATACCCAGCCCTCTGCCCTGACTCCTGCACCCTCCTCACACACCCCCAGCCCTGACTCCTGCACCCCCCAAACCCCATGACCTGACTCTTGCAAACCCCCCCCCACATTCCCATCCCCACCCTGAGCACCAAATGGGAGCTGCCCAGGTAAGCACTCCACACCCAAACCTCCTGCCCTAACCCTGAGCCCCCTCCCTCATTCTAGCTCCTGTCCAGACCCTGCACCCCAACCCCCAGCCTGCTCCTTCACCCCCAGCCCTGTGCTCAGTGCACTCCCACCCTCAGCTCAGTGCAGAGAGAGAGGAAGCGAATAGGCTAGAACCAGGGAGAAGGTAGGTACCCACTCTATGTGGGCAGAGCCGGGATCCCAGACCGGCAACAGGCTGAGCAGCAGCGGGCTGAGCCGCTCTGTCCACTGCCAGTCTGGGGTCCCAGTCGCCGGCCCCGCTCAGCCCGCTGCCGGTCTGGGGTCCTGGCTGCAGGCCCCGCCCAGCCTGCTGCCAGCCTCAGTGAATGGCCCAGGCTGGCAGCGGGCTGGAGGCGTAAGATCAGCATTTTAATTTAATTTTAAATGAAGCTTCTTAAACATTTTGAAAACCTTGTTTACTTTACATATGACAATAGTTTAGTTATATAATATATAGACTTATAGAGAGAGACCTTCTAAAAACGTTAAAACGTATTACTGGCACGCAAAACCTTAAATGAAAGTGAATAAATGAAGACTCAGCACACCACTGCTGAAAGATTGCCGACCCCTGCACTAGACTATAGTAACAGACAGAAAGCATCTGGTTACCTCATTAACCCCTAACAAGATATAGGTAAACACAGACAAATGCAATCGCTATCTTCTTCTAATTCGCTAACAATACAAGTCTACATCTGAAAGTTCTAGTCCATCTGACAGGGCTTTGCTAGCTTTATATATTTTTCTAAGATGTCTTTAAAGGTTGAATTTGGGTCATTTAGCTTGCTAGTCACTTAACCCATTTGTAGCTCACAAAAGCTAATGCTCTAATAAATTTGTTAGTCTCTAAGGTGCCACAAGTCCTCCTCTTCTTTTTACGGATACAGACTAACACGATTTCTACTCTTAACCCATTCTGGCTCAGTGTCACGACCACTAGCAACAAACCTTGAGTGGGCTGTAGCAGAGGGACAAAGGGGGAGAGTGATGTGTTTAAGGGATCTTTGTTCAACAGACATTCAAGCAGTCAAGCAGGAAACTATGTGGAAGACTACTGCCTAGAATATCATGGGGATGGGTGTTGTACTCGTTATTTGTATGGATATATTGCTGGTTTATTGTTGCTATGTTCTTTTTCCTTAATAAATATTTCCTTGCTTCATACACAGACTCAGTGCTTGAGAGGGGGAAAATATCAGCTGCTAAGGTATTCAGTTTTCCCCCCAGGTTTCTGGGTGGGGGCTCATGCCAGTGGTGTTGGCTAATTTTAAGAGGAAACCCCAGACATTTGAACCCGGCCCTCTTTTTCGCTGCCAACAACACCTGGCAGCAAGGCTACAGAGCTCTTGAGTGAAATATCTTTTCTAGAAACTTGTTGTGACAAGATGTTCATGCTTTCCACCTACTCCATTATCAAACCATGTTTTCCAGAGAACATGTCACACAGGAAGTAATTCTGCTTTTAAAAAGTATATTTAATGTTGTGGTGGCTTTTCTGGCAAATGGCGTCCGGTACGCCTGGTCCAACCGAGTTGGCAACCCTAGGCCTGGGAGGAGTAAGTGGTCTTCAGTAACAACAAAAAAACTCTCAAGTCCGAGTAGAGGGGTTATTTTACCTCTCTATTTGGCACGGGTGGAATACTGTGTCCTGTTCTGGTGCACACAATTCAAGAAAGATGTTGATCAGTTGAAGAGGGTTCAGGGAAAAGCCAAGAGAATGATTAAAGGATTAGAAAACAGGTTTCGTAGTGAGAGACTCAGGGCTGCCGGTGGGGGGGTAAGTGGGGGGACGGCAATTTAAAAGGGCCCAGGGCCACCACTGCTGCTACCCAGCAATGGCAGAAGCCAGAGCCCTGGGCCCTTTAAAATCGCTGCTGGGGCCCTGGGCAGCCCGGTCCGGGCAGTGCTGAAGGGCCTCAGCCCTGCCCCTTCCACCTGAGGCCCTGCCCCTTCCGGGGGCCCAGAGCCACATACACACACACACACACCTTGCCCAGGGGCCCAGCAAGTCTGTCAGCTGCCCTGGAGAGACTCAATGAGCTCAATTTATTTAGCTTAATAAAGAGCAAGTTAAGGGATGACTTGATCATAGTCTATAAGGACCTGCATGGGGAAGAAATATTTGACAGTGGGCTCCTCAGTCTCGCAGAGAAAGGTCTGACATGATACAATGTCTGAAAGCTGAAGCTAGACAAATCCAGACTGGAAATAAGGTGTAATATTTTTAACAGTGAGGAAACTAAACTTTGGGACAATTTACTAAGGGTCGTGGTGAATTCTCCATCACTGACAATTTTTAAATCATGATTGGATATTTTTCTTACAGATCTGCTCTGGGAAATGTTTTGGGGAAGTTCTCTGGGTTGTGATATATGGTCAGACTAGATGATCACAGTGGTCCCTCCTGGCCTTGAAATCTATGAAAAACTGCACACAATTTTCTCCTCTATGGGCAACTCATCGGCTCAAATGGAAGAGGTGACTTAGTGCTCTGAAATTTACTTGAGCTTTTTTTTCTTTTTGCTGTCTGGTTTCCGCTGAGGATCAGCTGCCCTAGGAGTAAAAAATACGACAAGTTTTAAAATGTTATTTTAATTTAACTGATGTTATGTAGCAAGGAAGAGCAGTATTAGGACATGCCAACTACCGCAAATCAAAATGGAAATAGAACATGTACTGTACTCACCTCATCAGTTCAGCACACCCTGTTACTGGGGAAAGCCTCCCCCACATGCTTGAATCTTGAAAGAGAATAATGAAAATACATTAGGAAAAATAACATCAACCTTGCATCAGACATCACAAGGCACGGGATTCCCCATCCCTTAAACCATTCACTTCACCTTCAGTGACTTCCTGGCTCCTACTCCTTCCACCCCATTTTCTGATGGATCCTACCTATGATGTGAGACATGTAAGGAAGGATCTGTTCCCTCAGATCCTTTCAACACTGAGGCCCAGCTCTGGATTTGAAGCATGAGGGAAGGAAGAAAAGAAAAAGACAAGTGACAGAGTTGGTGCATTTGGACAGCAGGGGGCAGAATAAGAGTTTTCATTGTTAAACACAATTACTGGGAGGTGAGGGAAATCATTCCACGGAATATCACTAGGACCTTCTGCAGCCAACAGAACTGTCACCATCCTTGGTCTCTGCATTTCAGCTGCAGAGCTGCAGCAGCCATGAGGCAGGAGGGGCTCTGTCTAGTCTCTACTGCCACTGTTACTCCACCTCCCCGTCACAACCTGCCACCTGAAGTGCCCCTGGTAACTCTTCTCTTCTTCACTGACTCCCATGCCTGCCTGACTGTACAACCCTCTACAGCTTATCAGCCTCCATGACCACTTAGTAAGTCATCTCACCAGGCACCTGCTCTCCTCTGTTCCTTCTGCCAGTATTCTTCTCAATTTTCTTTGCTTTTGTCATAAAAATAAAGGGAAGGGTAACAACCTTTATGTATGCAATAACATAAAATCCCTCCTGGCCAGATGTACTGAATCACTTTACCTGTAAGGGGTTAAGAAGCTCAAATAACCTGGTTGGCACCTGACCAAAAGGACCAATAAGGAAAGAAGATACTTTTAAATCTGGGGGTGGGGGAGGTTTTGTTCATGCTCTTTTTGTTTGTTCCCCCTCTGGATGGAGAGAGAGACCAGGCAGGTAAAACATCTGAAAGCATTCCTGAAATGATCCATCTAAGATTACAAAAATTGTAAATAAGGGCAAGAAAATGCATTAGATTATCTTTTGTTTTAGCTTGTGAATTTTCCCTATGCTAAGAAGTAATTTCATTCCTGTTTTGTAACTTTGAAGCTGAGCCTAGATGGGAATCCTCTGTGTTTTTAAATCTTTTTATTCACCCTTTAAAGTTACCTTCCATCCTGATTTTGCAGGTGTGATTCCTTACTTTTTTTTATAAATAAAATTCTTCTTTTAAGAACCTGATTGATTTTCAGTGTCGTAAAAACCAAGGAGTTTGGTCTGTGCTCACATTGTAACCAATTGGTTAGTATATTATTCTCAAGCCTCCCCAGGAAAGGTGATGAAGGGTCTTGGGGGAATATTTTTGGAGAATAGGGACTCCAAGTGACCCTTTTCCTAAATTTTTGTCTAAATCACTTGGTGGTGGCAGCAATACCATCCAAGGTCAAGGAAAGGATTTGTGCCTTGGGTTTTTAACCTAAGCTTGTGGAATATAAGATTAGGGGGTCTTTCATGTGGGTCCCCCCATCTGTACCCCAGAGTTCAGAGTGGGGAGGGAACCCTGACAGCTTCTCTTTCACTTAAACTCACTGTGGTCTGTGCTTCTTCCTCACTGACCCCATTCTACCCCTCACATTTCAGTATCAGCTCCTTCTCTTCTTCCCCTCCTCTTTGATCACTCACTCATTCATCTCACCTCACCCCTTCTTTCTCCCTCACCTAAGAGACTAGTTACACCAGTGGCATTTCCATCTAGTGGCTAGTGCTACTGTCACTACCAGCTAAATGCTTAAGCTTGAGTGGTAGATGCCCAGGCTTCTAGGGCTGATGCTCTTGGTGTTCAAACCCATAACGGGAAAGACTATTAAAGTGGTGTCCCAAAAGTGCAGGTTGAACTGCCGTGTATCTCAGATGCTTGTGATGAATTTCCCTGACAGGGTAAGTGTGTAACACACTTGTGGTTGCTGTCTCCCGCTGAAGTGACTGGTCTACACAGAGGAAAATACCTTATTACTACTATAGAAGAGGGAATTAACTCCTCTAGCTAAGATGTCTATGCCTTTAGTGCTGTAGATCCAGAGAACAAACCCCAGTTACAACCCCTGAGGGGCACTGTTATGCACATGCATTCCCCTGCTTATCCTAATATGCTCACAAAGTCGCTCCCCCAGAGACATTCCTCAAGGGCTGTTAGGTCACCTGCTAAGCAGCCAGAAGAGGAGCCGTTTGTTGAGCACAAAGGAACTGAAAGGAGCCCCAGGACCCACAGATTGTTGCATCGGTAGCTGCTGGGAGGGCGAAGGAGAGGACTTCATGCTCTGAGCACCTGCAATCTCAGCTGGAGAAGCAACTTTCCGCAAGAGCCCCAGGCAACAGCACCAAGGCAAAGGAAACTGTCCTGACTAGGGTGCTGCCAAGCCCAGCTCCAGCACAGGCCTCAGACAGTTGGTCTTGCATCCATCCCTAGGGACAGCCCTGACTTGGGTGGGCTTTGGTCAGCATCTTAGACAATAAGAAACAATTTATTTTATTTAGGATAGATGTTTTGTGTTAGGATATAGATATTCAGGCCTGTCTGCAAAGTCCTATACTTTAAGAATGTAGGTATAAAAGAAAGAATTAAAATCACTGTCTGCCAGGGTAAGGGCCTTCTCTCTCTGTGACAGTCTGGGGCCCTGTTCTTAGGCTAAGGCCTTTGGCTAAGCAGCAGAGGCAGCCTTATGCTGGGAAGCAACCGGTCACATCCTCCCATTCCAAACCCGGCTCCACCAAAGTTCAGGGCCGGGTCTCTCCCCCGGCCCCGCCTGCCGCCCCCAAGCGCCTCCCCCAGAGCATCCCCCATAGCCCCACCTGCCTCCCCTGGGCAAGTTAAAAGGGCCCGGGGCCCCCGCCGCCACCACCGGCAAGGCAACAGGACTAAGGCGGCTTCTTGCTCCCCGGCTCCGCTTACGGAAGCGGCTGGCACGTCCCTGCGGGCCCTGGGTGGGGAGGAGGGGGAGTGAGCGCTGGGATATAATTGGTTAGATAATCATGTTACAATATGTTAGGATTGGTTAGTTAAATTTCAGTAAAATGATTGGTTAAGGTATAGCTAAGCAAAACTCAAGTTTTACTATATAGGCTGCAGTCAATCAGGAAGTAAAGGGGGAAATGGGAACAGGGAATGGGGGTGGGGGAATTGGAATTACGTTTCGCTAAGTGGGGAATGGGAACAGGGACACAGGCAAGGTTCTGTGGTGTCATGGCTGGGAAGGGGGACACTAAGTAAGGAAATTGGAATCATGCTTGCTGGAAGTTCACCCCAATAAACATTGAATTGTTTGCACCTTCGGACTTCGGGTATTGTTCCTCTCTGTTCATGCGAGAAGGACCAGGGAAGTAAGCGGGTGAAGGAATAAACCCTCTAACATTTTGCCTGGTCCAGGAGCTGGACATGGCCTCTGCAGAAGAAGGATTGCTAGGCAGAGACGGGCTCCACCTAACGAAGAGATGGAAGAGCATCTTCGCAAGCAGGCTGGCTAACCTAGTGAAGAGGGCTTTAATCTAGGGTCACTGGGGAAGGAGACCAAAGCCCCGAGGTAAGTGGGGAAGTGGGATACCAGGAGGAAGCAAGAGCAGGAGAGCGCAAGAGGGGAGGACTCCTGCCTCATACTGAGAAAGCAGGACAATCAGCGAGTTATCTTAAGTGCCTATACACAAATGCAAGAAGCCTGGGAAACAAGCAGGGAGAACTGGAAGTCCTGGCACAGTCAAGGAATTATGATGTGATTGGAATGCCAGAGACTTGGTGGGGTAGCTCACATGACTGGAGTACTGTCATGGATGGATATAAACTGTTCAGGAAGGACAGGCAGGGCAGAAGAGGTGGGGGAGTTGCATTGTATGTAAGGTAGCAGTATGACTGCTCAGAGCTCAAGTATGAAACTGCAGAAGAACCTGAGAGTCTCTGGATTAAGTTTAGAAGTGTGAGCAACAAGGGTGATGTCGTGGTGGGCATCTGCTATAGACCACCAGACCAGGCTTTCTTCAGGAAACTAACAGAAGTTACTAGATCATAGGCCCTGGTTCTCATGGGGGACTTCAATCACCCCGATATCTGCTGGGAGAGCAATACAGCAGTGCACAGACAATCCAGGAAGTTTTTGGAAAGTGTAGGGGACAATTTCCTGGTGCAAGTGCTGGAGGAACCAACTAGGGGCAGAGCTCTTCTTGACCTGCTGCTCACAAACAGGGAAGAATTAGTAGGGGAAGCAAAAGTGGATGGGAACTTAGGAGGCAATGACCATGATATGGTCAAGTTCAGGATCCTGACAAAAGGAAGAAAGGAGAGTCCAGTCAGTCTGGACTTCAGAAAAGCAGACTTTGACTCCCTCAGGAAACTGATGGGCAGGATCCCCTGGGAGAATAACATGAGGGGGAAAGGAGTCCAGGAGAGCTGGCTGTATTTTAAAGAAGCCTTATTGCGGTTGCAGGAACAAACCATCCTGATGTGTAGAAAGAATAGTAAATATGGCAGGCGACCAGCTTAGCTTAACAGTGAAATCCTTGCTGATCTTAAACACAAAAAAGAAGCTTACAAGAAGTGGAAACTTGGACAAATGACCAGGGAGGAGTATAAAAATATTGCTCAGGCATGCAGGATTGAAATGAGGAAGGCCAAATCACAATTGGAGTTGCAGCTAGCAAGGGATATTGAGGTAACAAGAAGGGTTTCTACAGGTATGTTAGCAACAAGAAGAAGGTCAGGGAAAGTTTGGGCCTATTACTGAAGGGGGGAGGAAACCTAGTGACAGAGGATGTGGAAAAAGCTAATGTATTCAATGCTTTTTTTGCTTCTGTCTTCACGAACAAGGTCAGCTCCCAGACTACTAAAGCTGGGCGAGCACAAGTCCATGGGGCCAGATGCACTGCATCCGAGGGTGCTAAAGGAGTTGGCAGATGTGATTGCAGAGCCATTGGCCATTATCTTTGAAAACTCATGGAGATCGGGGGGAAGTCCCGGACGACTGGAAAAAGGCTAATGTAGTGCCCATCTTTAAAAAAGGGAAGAAGGAGGATCCTGGGAACTACAGGCCAATCAGCCTCACCTCAGTCCCTGGAAAAATCATGGAGCAGGTCCTCAAGGAATCAATTCTGAAGCACTTAGAGGAGAGGAAAGTGAGCATGGATTCACCAAGGGCAAGTCATGCCTCACTAATCTAATTGCCTTCTATGATGAGATAACTGGCTCTGTGGATGAGGGGAAAGCAGTGGACGTGTTGTTTCTTGACTTTAGCAAAGCTTTTGACACGGTCTCCCACAGTATTCTTGCTAGCAAGTTAAAGAAGTTTGGGCTGGATGAATGCACTATAAGGTGGATAGAAAGCTGGCTAGATTGTTGGGCTCAACGGGTAGTGATCAATGGCTCCATGTTTAGTTGGCAGCTGGTATCGAGCGGAGTGCCCCAAGGGTCAGTCCTGGGGCCGGTTTTGTTCAAATTCTTCATAAATGATCTGGAGGATGGCGTGGATTGAACCCTCAGCAAGTTTGCAGATGACACTAAACTGGGAGGAGTGGTAGATATGCTGGAGGGTAGGGATAGGATAGAGAGGGACCAAGACAAATTGGAGGATTGGGCCAAAAGAAATCTGATGAGGTTCAACAAGGACAAGTGCAGAGTCCTGCACTTAGGACGAAAGAATCCCATGCACTGCTACAGACTAGGGACCAAGTGGATAGGCAGCAGTTCTGAGGAAAAGGACCTAGGGGTTATAGTGGACGAGAAGCTGGATATGAGTCAACAGTGTGCCCTTGTTGCCAAGAAGGCTGTTACGAATTACACCTGAGAGGACACGCACACAACTGCTACGAATTACACCTGGTAGGACACGCACACAAATGCTGCGAATTACACCTGGTAGGACACGCACACAAATGCTGCGAATTATACCTGATAGGACACGCACACCAGTGCTGCGAATTATACCTGATAGGTCACGCACACCAATGTTGCGAATTATACCTGATAGGTCATGCACAGTTTGAGTCTAGGCTGAGGCACAGAAACAAAGTCCACAACTGCAGAGTTCCCAAAAGACACTAAGTTTATTACGCTCAAGCGTGGTGCCCCCCTGCTAGCCAGGAGGGGACCCTGAATACAGATTATTCAAAGGTTATATACTTTTTAGCAAAGCTTGTTGCCCTCGTGCATCGGAAACCTTAGCCAATAAACAAACCCTTGTCTTATCTACCACCTATCCCTGCTTGGTGCATTCCTCGTGCTATACCAGTATGTTAATTACACAGCATGGTCCTAAAGCCATGCATCAGTAACTTTTATTATCAGGATGGGAGGCCTCACATCAAGGCCAAGAGACAAGGAGTTAGAGACTAACAAAAACCAGATACTGGGAGTCAAGGCAGGCTGGAGACGAGGAGGAGGATTTTCACAGGGATTCAGTATCTAAGGATCACTCCTCCTGGCGTATAATGTGCTGGCATTTAAACAATGGTGGGCCCCAAACCAAAATGGAGTCACATGTGCTAACTTTTCCTTAACAGGCTAACAGCATTTTGGGCTGTATAAGTAGGAGCATTGCCAGCCGATTGAGGGATGTGATTATTCCCCTCTATTCAGCATCGGTGAGGCTTCATCTGAAGTACTGTGTCCAGTTTTGGGCCCCACACTACAAGAAGGATGTAGAAAAATTGGAAAGAGTCCAGCGGAGGGCAACAAAAACGATTAGGGGGCTGAAGCACATGACTTATGAGGAGATGCTGAGGGAACTAGGATTATTTCGTCTGCAGAAGAGAAGAATGAGGGGGGATTTGATAGCTGCTTTCAACTATCTGAAAGGGGGTTCCAAAGAGGATGGATCTAGACTGTTCTCAATGGTAGCAGATGACAGAACAAAGAGTAATGGTCTCAAGTTGCAGTGGGGGAGGTTTAGGTTGGATATTAGGAAAAACTTTTTCACTAGGAGGGTGGTGAAGCACTGGAATGGGTTACCTAGGGAGGTAATGGAATCTCCTTCTTTTGAGGTTTTTAAGGTCAGGCTTGACAAAGCCCTGGCTGGGATGATTTAGTTGGGGATTAGTCCTGCTTTGAGCAGGGGGTTGGACTAGATGACCTCCTGAGGTCCCTTCCAACCCTGATATTCTATGATTCTTTAAAAACACAGTGAATAGAGTAAGGAAGAAAGGGAAAGCTCTAGTGGCTTGGTGCTGCTGGTGAAGAGAAGGCAGCTCACTCCAAACTGACTGGGGTAGCAACCCACATGGAACATGACGGGAGGAGCGTGGGTCACAGGAGGGAAGTGTTTAGAAGAGGCTACAAACAGTCAGTCTGGATGCATGTGGCTAGAATAATAAGCTGCAAGAACTGGAGTCAGGAAACTGAAGGGAAATTTAGCAAGGTACAGCATACCTGACATACTACGCTCGGACAATGGGCTGTGACAATGATTCAATGCAAAATGGGAATTTGAGCACAAGGCCTCTTCCCCGGCTACCCACAAAGCAATGGGATGGCATAGATGGCAGTAAAAACAAACAGCCAAGAGATTGATGGCAAAGGCCAAAAACCAGGATAAGATTCCGACCTGGCAATGCTGGAACATCATAATACTCCCTTCCACAGACTAGGTAGTTGCCAACCCAGCTACAATTGCTCCACCAGTTACCACAAAGGATTCCTAACCCAGGTCAGCCCAGAACAGGGGTAATAGGATAAGAGACTTGTTGAGATTCCCTCACTTTGTCCCCCTGCCTGCAGGCCGCCGCCCTGTGTCTTCCTGCTGTGTCAGCAACAGAGTGTAGCTCTGTTCAGCTCTCAGCCTTCCCACCCCAGCTCACAGGTTGCCTACTACCCAGGTACTTCTCAGCTGCTTTCTCTGGCCTGTTGCAGCTGCTTTCCCATGGCGTAGGATTCCTTCCGAGTCCTGAGCCCAATCCTTTTAACCTTAGGTTGGGCTTCCTTTGTTTGTACCAGAGAAATTATAGAGCCCTCTACTGGCTGGCTGTTGAATGGGGTTCTTTACAACAGGAGAACATAAGAACGGCCATAGTGGGTCAGACCAATAGTCCATCTAGCCCAGTGTCCTGTCTTCCAACAGTGGCCAGTGTCATGTGCTTCCCTTGGAATCAGAGGTGAGGGACGTACATTTGAAATCAGAAAGATGATTTACGCACAACAATCCCAAGAGCCTGGCAATGTCATCACACCCCAGTAGCAATTTGCAGCAGCTCCAGCGCTCACTCCCCGGTCGAGTGGCGGAGAGGGTATCCCAGTACTTGGGCTTAGGAGGGCAGGTTTCTGTCTGGGCCTCTCCCTGTCAAACCCCACCCCCACAAACTGCAGTAGCTCCTTCTCACACTCCCCAGTGGAGAGGTGGGATGTGAGTCTCCCAATACATCAGCCAGGGCAGGGGCCCTGGTGTAATAATGTTTCCCTGGCTCTGGCAGCGAATAGTAAACAATAGGTGCATGTTACTTACCTGGCTTAGCATCAGAATTCACCTTGTGGTACATTAACAGAGATACGGTGCCACTACGACAGAAACAAAGGGCTTGTTTATACCTAGTCACGTGGATGCCCATATCCCTGAGCCCTTCCCACAGCTCAAGGGTGCTTTGCAAGTGTAGTACAATATTTATATTATTCAAGTGAGTTATACCATCAGAGCGCTCGAAGACAAATAGAAATAGTCTGTCAGGGGGCCTGACCGGGCCAACTCTTTGGGAGCTCTGAAAATGTCACACTGGGACTGAAATGGCTGAAAGCCTGATTCTCAGAATGGGCATTGAAAATACCTGTTCTGGACTTTTGAAGAGATCTGTTCTTCTGAGACCTGTAAAAAAACAGACAGGATCATTTCCCAAGGCAACTTCTGACTTAGTTATTAAATATCTGCAACACAGACAGTGGATGGAAGCAAAGGGAATGTCTCCTGTGTCCACAAGCGACAACTTTCAAAAGTGCTGGGGGGTGCTTGACCCCCTGGCTCTGCCCCAGGCCCTGCCCCCACCCCACCCCCCAATGCCCCACCCAGCCCCACCTCTTCCCGCCCCCACTCCACCCTTGCCCTGCCTCTTCCCGCCCAGTTCCGCCTTCTCCCCTGAGCATGCCATGTCCCCGCTCCTCCCCTATTCTCCAGCCCCGGAGCACCCATGGAGTTGGTATCCCAATGGCTGTGCTAATGCTAGACAAAAGGTGATAACATTATGACGTACATTAAACACCAATCAAGGGGAGAACTATGCTTTTTTCTATGTGTTTCAATTGAGTATTTCATTTCTATCTGGTCAGTCACTTCAGAGGATCATTACAGCTCTCATCTACTACACCTGCTGGAAAAGGCTGAGGGTTGTAAGCTGAGGATCAGAGGCATAAAACTGGGAGAGAAACGTTCTATAACTGACGAGGGGGGAAGGGCTGGGGACTGACAATGCTCTACCTATATTTTCGGTAACACAAATAATGGATAATAATAATTCTCCTGTATTAGGAGACGTGGATGACCCTTTATCCAAATCAGAGCTCCGTCCCCACACAACCCAAGGTATTACATAGTTTCCATGAACTCTTAAGCACATTTTACCTCAGACACTCCTTTATCATTGAAGTGGTACCAGTGATTATCTTCCAATGACTTTACTTCAGCTGTGTAATGATCACCATGAATTGCTCCAATATGGTGACATATTCCAAAGAGCTCATAGTCTGTGTACTACAAGATAATCATGATAAAGTTCAGTAGTCAACCATCTTGTATCTTCACAACAAGAAGATTGTCAGAGTTCACAACTGATGAGGTCCTAGGGCACTAGCAGTGATGTTAACAATGAAGGGTTGGGATCATGAACTGAACCCTACATGATTATATCTGAGGAATGGGTCGTGACCAGACCACGAAGGTTTGAGTTTATGGGCTTATCTCTCCAAGGGGACATGCTCTGAGCCTGGTGTTCCCCAGATACAACTGATAGGGGAAGCCATTGAGGACAGGGAGCCAGAGGAGGAGGCCATAAGACCCTACCAGAAGATGGAAATGGTAAGTAGAGGCCCCAGGGCTCAGAGAAGGGCAAATATCAGGCTAGGGGCATCCAGCTGTATTCATAGATTTCTCCTAATGGCAAACTTCCTTCCTTCAGGTTCACAAAATATCAAACTTCCAGGCCAGGCTCAGTCCCACAGGCTCAAAGTTCATTACAATAGCCTTGCACAACAGCAGAGCTGAACTCTGTGAGGCCTGGTTAAAGAAGCTGTTGGTACATTTTCCTTCCTGTTCTTTTTGTCATTAGATCATGTAGGTAAAACAAAATAATAATCCCTTGAGAGCTCGATGGAAAGTCCATGTACTTACAAGCTGCTTGCCTGTTGTTAGCGTGAGTGAGAGGGGCACAGACACCCCAGCATTAATGTCAACCGGATCTCTCTCCAAATGGATGACCAGAATCTGAGGTAGAGTTTCAAAACAGTAGCACTGAAAGAGACAGCAGTGCAGGACACTGTATCATTTTGGCCATGCTAAAATTCCCTATTGTAGGCAGACAAGAGTAATGAGATACACGTTTATAAAAACCTTTGCCTTCTGCTTGGGCTTGCCTTTTACATTTTAACAGCTCAGCCCAGCACTGAGCACAATAGAATGTTCTAAAAAGTCCTTGCTTACCTGTGTGCTTCTTTGGTTTCCACAGCATTGACAATAGTGTTGGCCATCCCCAGTATAGGGATGTTCTTCCTGCATATCAGCCAAAGCATGATCCTATGCAGAGAAGGATATTGAGATGTTATACGGCATTACTGTGACCAAAATAAAACAGTATGGATTCTATTTGACAAGGCAATAAAGGGACCTGCCTTGGGAGAACTATAAGGGAAATTCTATGGACAGTCATTAGGGGGAAAGGTAATAGTTGGCTGTAATCCACCTTGCACTCCTCAGGTCCTGAACCCTAATGTCTGGGGGGAAAACATCCAACGCACACAGGGTGCCAATTTTATATAACTGGTTAAACTAAATAACTAAGTCAAAAGCGCAATACATATAAACTAATCAAATTAAAAGAAAGTGGGTTAATATGAAATCATCAAATTAATTTAGTAATCAGGTTGGTTAAACCACATCAAATAAACCAGCAATTCTTTATAAGCATCATCTAATAATTTGGGAAGGTGGCAGTTTTTTGTTTAAGTAACAGCCCCAAAATAACAGGACATTTTCAATCTCAATGCCAATTAATATGTTTATAGTCCAGCCAAATGGTTGGGAGGGTCAAGTCACGCCAAGAGCAATTTGAATGTGAATCACTTTGAGAGCAATTCGGTAATCATGCTCAAATAAGAGGCAGTTAAAGTGATAGATCATCTCTTGCTCCCACAATGGATTACATGAGACATTCCAATGAAATTCAAGATAACACATAGCTGGTTACATTTATACTTCAAACTAGAATTTAGGTGAAATTAGCAATGTCAGGATTTTACATATTACTCCAAACCCATAAGATATATGTACACATGATCTTTCACACAGAGGGGTTATTTAACTTAGAGCTTTTTTAGATGTTCGAGGGGGGAGAAACTGTTACTTTACCGTCCCGTAACTCTCATGCTTCAAGATGTGTTGCACATGTCCGTTACGCTGTACGTGTCTTGTGCGCTGCTGCCAGAGAGTTTTACCTAGCAGTATCCATAGGGGTGGCCCCACCCAATGCCGAACTCCTCATGCTCCATAGCGAGGATATAAAGGGTGCCGTTGCCCCACTCATCCACAAGTTCCTTCGCCCTGGAAACCGATGGGAGACTCCAACACTTCTGGGAGGGAGGGTGGGTGGTTAGCATCTCCCGTTTACTACGGCCACAACTAACGAACCAGATGCATGATGTAAATAAAAGTGTTCAGACCCCCTGAGGTGCCTGGTATTTATGTTCCATTCTTTTGGCCACAGTGAAAGGGGTTTGCCAGATTGTTTTGGCCAGCTGCATGATGACCTCATTTATGGGCAGAGCCACTTTCCCTGCCATAGCAATTGGTTTGTGGGTATTCTTCTCCACTAGCTCCACCGGAGGTAGGCTGCCATTCTCCTGGGGAGCTCCTGTAGCCCCTTAAAGTCATCCAGTACTGGGTAGGGTGCCCCACCCCTGGTACCAGATCCTCATCAGGAAGACTCATGCAGGAGGAGCTGCTCTTGCGGTACCAGGACAGGTTGCAGCTCCAGAACAGGCTGAGGTAAGTCCTGAGCTGAGGTCAGTGCAAAGGCTGATCAGTGCCAACCGTGACAGGTCTCAGCACCAAAAGGAGAAGGCTCCTTCCTGGAAAATCTATTTGCATGGAAAATTGGCAAAGGACATCTGGATACTGGAAGCATCCCCCAGGGTATTCAGTAGGGCCCCTGAAAGGCTGGTATGGTACCAAGCCACAGGTGTGTCTGCCCCAAGCATCCCAATCCCTGGCTGAAGTCTTCTCAAATCCAGACTGGTGATGAGAAAGGGACTGGGAGGAAGCTCTGGACTCTCAGTACCGACATAGCCCAGAGCCTACCCTGGAACTGGAGTATTCTAAGTACCAGGATGGCACAGAACCAAGAGGGGACCGTTGACTGAGAGCTAGGCTTGCATTGAGGATGCAGCACTGGAGGAAGCATGGATGACTTCCTAGCTACTCATAACGTGTGGTGAGGAGGAGCCGGTACCAGTCCAGAAGACAAGGTAGGAGGCGGTACTGATCCTGAAGCTGGAGGTGCCAGACTAGAGTATTCTGGTGCCAATGGTTTGGGCAGCTGCACTAGGCCCAGAGGAGGGTCCTCGAATCTGAAGCAAGGGTGAATGGCAGTACTGACAGGCACAGCAAGGCCCTGGCTGCAGCATAGGGCTCTGGCGTAGTTGGAACAGACATGGGCTACTGACCTGGAGTGATCAGGGACAACTGCTGCATTGCAGCTGAAGAGGTAGCCTGTCTCGACAGTCTCTGGGAGGGTACCAGAGACAACAGCTCAGATCTGTCTCTATGAGCCAGCACTGGGGACCGTGATGTAGGGTACATTCTATTGTCTGTACCAGACCGATCTTCTGTAAAGGAGACCCACACTCCGGACTTCGAAGAACCTGATGCCAACTTCTTCTTATGTTTCAAGGCCAGGACTCTTCTGAAATCTTGGGCCTCAAAGAAGATAGTGCCAGTAAGGGGGATCTCCTCTGGCTCTGTCTGTGGGCAAAGCTGGGGGAGCTCTTTCGGACCAACAGAGTGCCAACGCTGACCTCCAGGTAGCCTCCATGTGGATGTATTGGAGACACTCCTCCCTCAGTCTCTTTATCCTGGTCTTGAAACCAATACAATTGGAGCACATCTCTCTAACCCAAGCAGTTGAGACAGTGTGATAAGGGTCATTAACGGACATAAGTTTTCTGCAGCCTGCACTAGGTCTGAACCCTGGGGATCCTGGCATAGGCCCCCCGACTGGGAAAATAAAAAACTAAAAAAATAAACAAAAAAACTGAACAAAAGGAAAAGCAAACAAACAAAATAAGATTTTAGAACATCAGGTGATGGGAAGAGCGCCATTGTGCACAAAGGTAAGTTTGTTCACAAGGAACACCAATGCTCCAACCACGGATGATAAGAAGGAACTAAAGGAGGGATGGGGTGTGTCATAAATATAAAGGGAAGGGTAAACCCCTTAAAAATCCCTCCTGGCCAGAGGAAAAATCCTCTCACCTGTAAAGGGTTAAGAAGCTAAAGGTAACCTCGCTGGCACCTGACCAAAATGACCAATGAGGAGACAAGATACTTTCAAAAGCTGGGAGGAGGGAGAAAAACAAAGGGTCTGGGTCTGTCTGTGTGATGCTTTTGCCGGGGACAGAACAGGAATGGAGTCTTAGAACTTTTAGTAAGTAATCTAGCTAGGTATGTGTTAGATTATGATTTCTTTAAATGGCTGAGAAAAGAACTGTGCTGAATAGAATGACTATTCCTGTCTGTGTGTCTTTTTTGTAACTTAAGGTTTTGCCTAGAGGGATTCTCTATGTTTTGAATCTACTTACCCTGTAAGGTATCTACCATCCTGATTTTACAGAGGTGATTCCTTTACTTCTATTAAAAGTCTTCTTGTAAGAAAACTGAATGCTTTTTCATTGTTCTAAGATCCAAGGGTTTGGGTCTGTGGTCACCTATGCAAATTGGTGAGGATTTTTACCAAACCTTCCCCAGAAAGTGGGGTGCAAGGGTTGGGAGGATTTTGGGGGGAAAGATGTATCCAAACTACATTTCCCAGTAAATCCAGTTAAAGTTTGGTGGTGGCAGTGGAAATCCAAGGGCAAAAGGGTAAAATAGTTTCTACCTTGGGGAAGTTTTAACCTAAGCTGGTAAAAGTAAGCTTAGGAGGTTTTCATGCAGGTCCCCACATCTGTACCCTAGAGTTCAGAGTGGGAAAGGAACCTTGACAGGGTGACTGTCCTTGCTTTCGAGCACAAGGAGCTCACTGGGTGGATGAAGCCGTCCCTAAAGGTACTGCTAGGGAAGCCACTCTGGCACTGGTGCATGAGATACATGCACCATACAGCATAGTGCACATATGCGAGCACTCAAAGAAGAACTGTTCTATAGGCACCATTCTCAGAGCAATGCTATAGTCATCTGCTGGAGTTTAAAATAAAGTACAAGAATTCTAAGGTGGTTGTATTCCCGTATCAATAAAAGTAGGGGAAAGAAAACCAAAGCAAAAAGGTTAATACTCATGGCAGGTTTATAGCTGACACTCTGGGAGGAGTGGTAGATAGGCTGGAGGGCAGGGATAGGATACAGAGGGACCTAGACAAATTGGAGGATTGGGCCAAAAGAAATCTGATGAGGTTCAATAAGGATAAGTGCAGGGTCCTGCACTTAGGACGGAAGAACGCAATGCACAGCTACAGACTAGGGACCGAATGGCTAGGCAGCAGTTCTGGGAAAAGGACCTAGGGGTGACAGTGGACGAGAAGCTGGATATGAGTCAGCAGTGTGCCCTTGTTGCCAAGAAGGCCAGTGGCATTTTGGGATGTATAAGTAGGGGCATAGCGAGCAGATCGAGGGACGTGATCGTCCCCCTCTATTCGACATTGGTGAGGCCTCATCTGGAGTACTGTGTCCAGTTTTGGGCCCCACACTACAAGAAGGATGTGGATAAATTGGAAAGAGTCCAGCGAAGGGCAATAAAAATGATTAGGGGTCTGGAACACATGACTTATGAGGAGAGGCTGAGGAAACTGAGATTGTTTAGTCTGTGGAAGAGAAGAATGAGGGGGGATTTGATAGCTGCTTTCAACTACCTGAGAGGTAGTTCCAGAGAGGATGGTTCTAGACTATTCTCAGTGGTGGAAGAGGACAGGACAAGGAGTAATGGTCTCAAGTTGCAGTGGGGGAGGTTTAGATTGGATATTAGGAAAAACTTTTTCACTAGGAGGGTGGTGAAACACTGGAATGCGTTGCCTAGGGAGGTGGTGGAATCTCCTTCCTTAGAAGTTTTTAAGTCAGGCTTGACAAAGCCCTGGCTGGGATGATTTAATTGGGGATGGGTCCTGCTTTTGAGCAGGAGGTTGGACTAGATGACCTCCTGAGGTCCCTTCCAACCCTGATATTCTATGATTCTATGATTCTTGTACTTTTTTCATTCAGCTTCAGGAAGCTCGTATCCCGCTGAAAAGATGAGCTCTGTTTTGAGCTCAGACTTGCTGGCCGGCTAGAGGTTGCTTGCTTGTGTGATGGGATACGCCGCCATCCCACTGACA